GGCAGTACATTTTTTTAAATTTCCTAAAACTATATAGGCCTAGGCCTACAGTCTGTCAGTAATAATAGTCTAGGCCCTAGTATTGATTTTAAAGTTATTTATGAATTGACTGAAATGTTCATAGAAAATCCATGAAAAAAAAAAGTACACAGCACAGAAAAATTAATTAAACATAACCATGACGTCTATGTCATGGTAGTTGCAATCCTGTAAAAGTTGTATTAATGGGCCAGCATATGAACTTTACCTAAGATATTACAATAAGGAATAAAACAGTTCCATCTGCTTTTTATTTATTACAGGAAGTGCCAGGAAGTTGCAGTAACGTTAAGCGAAACAGCTGCAGTAGCTGAGAAAGATGATCTGGAACCAAATTTACCCAATGATGATTGTCCTGCAAATGAAGAAAAAATACAACACAATGAGATAATAGAGCCAGCAGAAGCAGCCAATGATGAAAAAGTAGGCCACTAACTGAGAACTGCAGGGCTTGCCTATCTCAAAAATATCTTTAAAGGGTTTAGATTATGGCTTTATTTAAATAGTAGTACTAATTAGAATGAAGCTTATTTTTTGGACTCATGTTATATATAGCTTTTATGTGAGCACATATTTTTTTTTAATCATAATTGTATTATTTTATTTACATAATTATGTTATGTCCAATAGTTTTTAGATGTTTATGCTTAATTAGTTAGCTTTGTTAAATTTAATGTCTGCTTCCATTTTTGTATCATAGACTTTTGATTAGCAAATAATGCTGCTAAGAACACCTTCAAGGAAAGTTAGGTCCCCAAATAATATATACTTCTTTGATTAATAATTTATTAACATTTTGTAATACTTCATTCTAAAATATTTTGTAACTTTACAGGAAATAAAGAGGGATAATGTTGGAGATAATCAAGACACAGAAGATACAGGTAAATAACTACTGTATTTGTAACTGCTACTCTTTTAGTTTTGGTGTATGTATTTCTCTGATTTTAAGGTTAGTTTCATACCATACTTCCCCGGTTATAAACACACCCCTACTTTACATCCTAATTTACGTACCAGTGTTTTCAATGCAAGCTTTGGGTATGATTTGAATGAGAGGTGTTAAAAAGCTGTGTGACAGCTTCAAAAACCATATTTCTAACATTTGTGCTTTTGTACCTTTGTTCCTTACATTAATTTATGTTTTCCTCTTGAGACATGTGATAAAGTCGACAAGCGACTTATATTTAAGCACTGTTTCAGGTTTTGTTAGTTCTTTTTAAAATACAAATTTATTGTAAGATACGTACAGTAATTGTAAAATAAAAGTCTTTTGGAATTTAGGTATAGGGAATAACCATTCATATAAAACAAAAATGCTAGTTTTAATTTTATAACTGATCTTTGTATTTTCATCCTGATGTTCGTTGCTTGCAAACTATCTGTATAGCATTGCCCTCTCTCCTTGCAGTGCAGCGAGAAGCAAGCAAGTGCATGAGTACCATACTCGCACAATTAGCGCCCCCCTCAAATAAGCGTCCCTCCTAGAGTGAAAATTTCCTTAAGTGCCCTGTTTGAATAAGCGCCCCTTTCTAATTTTAAAAAGAGCCCACCTCTATAATATCACAAGTCTTTCTTTTTAGCAAGTCAATAATCCAATCAATCCTGGGATTGTGGTTGTTGGCATGTTGAGCTGCAGAGTGGAATCACATTCTCCTTAGGTCATTATCAAAATGAGGATATTTCTCTTGGACAAATGAGATCTCCGATCTTTCCTTTTCTTACATATTTGTCTGTAGGCCTAGTCCTACTCCTCTTTTTCTTTTTCCGACAATTTGCACCTTTAGCACATTCTCATCTGAGTTTTCAAGAAAACCTGCAATGATCCTGCCATCCTGCTGATGGCCAACAAGCTACCACTACTCACTACCACTAATTGCATCTGCTATTCTGCTGTTACGTAAATATTCACAGCATTCTTGTCATGAGCAATGTTGTCTGGACGATTATCTTTTCCACCGCACCATGTATGCGGCAGTCAGTAAAGTTTAGTTAATTTTCTCCAAAACAACAACAATCATTAAACAATTTGATCTTTGATACAGAAATACTTCAAGATGATGAGGTAGCAACCCAAGAAGCGGAGGAAAAGAAAACAGATGAGGCTGTCTCTATACCAACCAAGCGAAGTGTGGAGGAGAAAGTGGATAATGATGAGATGATTATATTAAGTAAAAAACTAAAAACTGATGCCCAGCAGGAGAAACCTAATGATGGGATTGCTTGCGAGGAGTAAATAATAAATAACTTGCATTACAAAAATGTGTTAAGATGATTGCTAACTCGCATTGTTTAATATTACTGTGTGTTTTAGTATTGAGATGCACTAAGTATTATTATTATTAGTATTGAAATGTTTGAAACACTTACGTCTTGTTCGAACTTAAGTGATAACATTCTTAACATTTTTAATATTATGAATTAAATGTTGAATTTGTGATTTATAGCCAATGACAATATTACAGACAAAGACTAATATTATGTTGAAACACTTAGTGTGCTTACAAATCTCCCTGCACTATTAATTCAATGATATAATATTATAATGAATATTTAAGTTAATTTATCATACATGATTATTTGCAATAAAAAGACAACAAAGAATACATGATTATTTGCAATAAAAAGACAACAAAGATTTCAAATTTGATCTTTTTTCAATTAATATTTGAAGTAAATATTGATAATATAAATAATACTACCATTTTATATTCTATGTGCTCAACAAATTAAATGCGACAACCTGCAAAATACCAGCGATTGCTTCAGCAAGGCATGTGTTACAAGGACAGAATTCTATTAGTGCAAGTTAAAACTGAGATTCTACAAATAACTTATTTTACTAGTTTTGCTCCTTAGTGAATGTGGATGATGAACTGGTCTACAAACTTTATGTTCTCAATGACTGTCCAATGCAACGGGTGCCTGCCACGAAGAACCTCCATTTTCAAGCCTAGAATTTTATTTTCTTGTGAAAATAAAACAATTTTTGGTGGCTACATTATCCATCTCACAAATTCATAGCCAACTATAAACTTAAATATCACTCATTTAAAAATTTAATTTAACTTTCAAGAATAATAGTATTAATATCCTTGGCATTATTTGTGAAAGTGTAGACAATATAAAGAAATATCATCATTACCAATAAAGATACACAAAATTTGGCGTGAACTAAAATGTAGAACACAAGGTTGAAAATAATTATGTATAAATTAAATCAACCTGGCAAAAAGGGGGAAAAGATAATAATAGGCAAATAGACACCGCATCCAGTTTTTTCAATAGATGTTATGATAGCTTATTCCTCCTCTTCTTCCTCTTCCTCTGCAACTTCTACTGGTTCTGAAATGATATTGATAAGTAAAATTACTATATTATCAATTGTTACTAAATAACAGGACAACTTGGAATAATGATAGAATAGGGACATTGAACATTAAATACTTAGAATGAAATAGGTAAACAAGACATGTCTAAAGGCCTGTTCAATTTGCAACTACCTGTAGAGCAAAAATACTCCCCAAAAAAGTTGCGAGTTGGGAAAGATTTGCAGTACACTTTACACTACAGATGCTGTATATCGGCAAAAGTGTGTGGGAAACACCTAGTGATTCGAAACCGAAAGAGGATGTGGTATAGTAAACATGTACCTAGTAAAATTATACTATCAGTTGTTTAACCACATGTGCCTATCTGAATACAATTGCGAACAGCAGTACATACAGTAGTTAACCTTTTATCTCGGTCAAAATTAATCCGAAGCAGACATTGCTAAAGCTCTGCCTAGACTATTACATTTTATTTGACAAAAAACTATTGTATGCCCATATATAGTCATGATATGCCTATATATGGTCATGATGTGATATCATGACCATACTTATACATCATGTCACATGTTTTTGTCATGTAAAATTTGATAGTCTGGACCTGTAGGGCTTTAGAGAGTTACCTGGAGCATGCTTTGGCGCCTCATAAGCGGCTTCCTCTGCTTCTTGCATTAGCATCTGAGCCTCAGCTTTTTCTAAAGCTTCCTTCTCCAACCTTTCACGAGCTAGCTTCCTTAAATGAAGGCGGCAATAGATCTTTCCCTCCACAAATCCATAATCACGAGGACTACAAGAAAAGAAGATGGCTTACTCCAACATACAGCTAGGATACAATTTTTGAGAGATAGACATTATGTAGCTTTCTATTGTATGACAGATTCCCTTATCCATGACAATTCACTGTTCTCCACACAATGTAGACATACAGTATTACATTATCGTGGGTGTTTTTTTTTCCAAAAAGCCTCAGTACACAGATGTCATTGACAAAGTCAACACATAACAGAAGTAATTATTTGCATTTTTTGGGCTTATTTTTAATCCGGAAGAATTTGAGAAAATGTCGGAGATCAGGAGGATGCTTGTCAAATGAATTGGGAGATTTGAAACGTCTGTATGCTTGTGAAGGCCATAGTACATATTTTTAATTGAATCAGTACCAACTGTATTCCATTGTAGGCCAAGGCTAAAAAAATCTGCAGCTTTGGTGGAGAAATGATTTTATCAGCGAAGCTGCAGAATGTCAGTATGATGGCAATGTACCAGAGGAATAATGATCTGCTAAAGGAGCATTTGGTACTTACTTGGTTACTTTCATGCAATAAACACATCTGAAGCAGTGTCTGTGGAATACTCTTCTCTTAACAGCCAATCGCTCAAATTGGTAGACTTCCTTGTGACATATTTCACATTCCCATGGTAATGTGACGAAAATCTTTTCATAAGGATCTTCATATGACTGAGGGGGAAAAAAAACAAACCAGGTAACTTGAGTAAAGACCGTTTTTCATAAAACCGCTACACGCTATCAACGACTTTTTGGCAACGCTATTTGGTCGGGCAAATCAGGCAGCATTCCAGATTGCATCGGGGACAGGTACGAAATGCAACGATTGCAGTGAATACGCTGTAGCAACAGCGTAGCAATTTTATAGGATCCAGGCTTAAAGCACAAAACAGTAACAGTTTTTAGCTTGTTTAATGATGAGATTAAACTGAGTGATAAAGAAAATATTTTCTAATGAAGTGTTTTTAAAGTAATAAAATTAATAATAAAAATAATGGTAATAATATAATAAAATAAAAGAAATAAGAAATAATGATTTTTTTTTAAATATAAGAAAATATTAATAGTAGCAATAATATTAATATCTCAGGACACAACAGGATCATTGCAAAATTTACAGAAAAAAAATGAGAATATTAAGAACTAAAATGAGAGATAAGCAACTTGTAGTAGACAAAATGATAAGTGGTTCTATTTGTAACTGGAGCATCAATTCAAACGATCAGAAAAAAAAAGGGATTACAATAAAAGTAGAATAAAGTCAAGAGAGTTCTTTTTGGGATATCAAAGATAGTCAGAATAATATATGAAACTGTGTGTAACTAACATTTTCTCTTAGGTGAATCAGGTATTTAACTTTCTACTTTAATCTATGGATCGAATCCTAACATTATCTACAATACTTATTTATTCTATTTTTATATGTTAGACAAACATACCTGTGATCTGTCCTATTTGGTTCAACAACATGAAAGAAAAAAAAATATTATTCTTTAAAAATGTAATTACTGTATAAACACTAAATAATTGATATTCTTTCAGTTAAACTGGCCAGCCGATTCTACCTAAGGGATCAGTTTCAGTGACAAATAAAATGCTGATACACTTCTATACTGGTGACAGCACCAGTCATCAACCATCTGATGAGAATCCCCTAATCAGGTTTGGTGACGGCATCATGAATGTTCATGTCACCGAAACTGATACTTATCAGATCTATTAGGTAGAATCAGGTGCAGAACTGGCAGTACATCATATAGACCAACAAAATCAAAGGTAATAGAAACACTCATAGTAAGCAGCGTATATAAAAAACACAAATGTATAATAAGATGGGGATGCATTGTTAACTTTAAAGCCACTCATTGAAGATAGAATGTTAGGCGGCTGTAGGGATAGGAACTGTTTGGAAATGAGCGAGTTACGTCCCCTTCTTCAGACCAAGCTCCCATTCGCCACAATTCATCCGACAGAGCAAATATATTAAATAGGCAAAAAGCTTGACTGTTTCTTTATCTATCTAATTCATGCCTAAACTAAAATGACTGTGACAGGCTGACCTAAAATATAACAAACATGTTTCAACAACTATAGATACCATTAATTTTAGAGGATATATTATGTTAAGATGTGCATTTTTGTTGTGTTAGGATTAGGTCGTACATGGTTTAGGGAAAACACATTTTATGTTCTGCATTGTTGTTGAATGGATCTTTCTGGAGTGTCAATCGAACTTAACAACTGACCAATCAAAACAGGCCCAGGAATACGCATGTGTCCTACAGACACACATGTTGTCCCACCAACCAATTTTTGTTACACTGTCACTTAATGGGACCTCAGCAGCAATATCCAAGGAGCTGGGCTTAGCCGAAAGGTCCATTGTAGACAACTATTAAATATAAATTCTACATAAAAGGATACCAAAATCTTAATCTTGTCAGAAATCAACAGTCCTATCCTATTTATTCATAAAATATCAATTCCTGTCTCTTATACACATCTAGATGTGTATAAGAGACAGACACATAACAGAAGTAATTATTTGCATTTTTTGGGCTTATTTTTAATCCGGAAGAATTTGAGAAAATGTCTGAGATCAGGAGGATGCTTGTCAAATGAATTGGGAGATTTGAAACGTCTGTATGCTTGTGAAGGCCATAGTACATATTTTTAATTGAATCAGTACCAACTGTATTCCATTGTAGGCCAAGGCTAAAAAAATCTGCAGCTTTGGTGGAGAAATGATTTTATCAGCGAAGCTGCAGAATGTCAGTATGATGACAATGTACCAGAGGAATAATGATCTGCTAAAGGAGCATTTGGTACTTACTTGGTTACTTTCATGCAATAAACACATCTGAAGCAGTGTCTGTGGAATACTCTTCTCTTAACAGCCAATCGCTCAAATTGGTAGACTTCCTTGTGACATATTTCACATTCCCATGGTAATGTGACGAAAATCTTTTCATAAGGATCTTCATATGACTGAGGGGGAAAAAAAACAAACCAGGTAACTTGAGTAAAGACCGTTTTTCATAAAACCGCTACACGCTATCATGTTAGGATTAGGTCGTACATGGTTTAGGGAAAACACATTTTATGTTCTGCATTGTTGTTGAATGGATCTTTACGGAGTGTCAATTGAACTTAACAACTGACCAATCAAAACAGGCCAAGGAATACGCATGTGTCCTACAGACACACATGTTGTCCCACCAACCAATTTTTGTTACACTGTCACTTAATGGGACCTCAGCAGCAATATCCAAGGAGCTGGGCTTAGCCGAAAGGTCCATTGTAGACAACTATTAAATATAAATTCTACATAAAAGGATACCAAAATCTTAATCTTGTCAGAAATCAACAGTCCTATCCTATTTATTCATAAAATATCAATTCCATCATTTTATTAGTTTCTCTTTGGAGGAGGGGGGGCCTCAGAAAAGAATATGTTTTGTAAACTTGACAATTATGAAAAACTGATGATTTCCTTATATTCCAATCACATAATATTATTTAACCTCAGTATTTTGTATACAGTAGTTGTAAAGAAATGATAGGCAAATAAACTTTTGAAACACAATAGATAGTAAAGTTCAATATAAAACAGTGGCGGACCGTAGGGTAAATTGCAGGGTAAAAAATGCTAAATAAAACAGAGAAACTGTACTACTATTTTTTTTTTTGGTTTTAGCCAGGGTATGCACTGCATACCTTGCTTGCCTTGATGGTTCACCACTGATATAGAATTATAATGTATGGTTATCAATGTTAAATACATAGTAGAATTAAATAGACTTTTGTAAGGGAATTGTAAATGTTAATGGACAATACATGCTAGTCCACTGACAGTATAATGGGCTGGCATGTCCCTCACTCTTCATTTACTAATAAACGCCAGAAGAAATAAACAAAGAACAATGTCAACTTGTTTAAATCACAAACCCTATATTTGTATATAGGGTCTGTGGTTAAATTAAAGAATGAATGAAATGGAAACTACAGTTAATGTGCTAGATGCAGATAAATGCAGTGAAAAGAGCGATAGATAACACCCAAAAAAAGCTGGCCTGATGAAAACAGATTGTGCAAATCTGTGTCTGCATTCAGATTATATTAATCGATATTAAATTGTTTAATCACCTCTGGTTTTTCCTTGGGTCAGCATCATGAAAGAAAAAAATATTTCAATGATATATTTTGTACAAAATTACTTCATTATTACATTGTAATTGTGGATAGTTTGGTTTTAAAAAATAATTTATACTTGTGTAATGAAGTGGTACCAAGTTTGCACATACAATTCATTAATTCTAATGATTAGCCCATCATATGAGAGAAAGGTTATGATGTTTCCATTTTCAAGATACCGTTGTTATAGAAGGATTAGTGCAGGCTATTAGAAAATTATGCCAGATTACAATTTAACATTTTTAAAATTAAGTAGGCCAGTTGATAACTTAAACACTTATTAAAGCCTGAAAAACTTCAAATGCTTTGAAAAAAATCCTTAAAATCAGATCTCCATACACCCAAATTACAAAGTTTATTTTAGTTGTCATATACTGTAATGAAAACAATAGATGAAATTTGTTTTCCTGGTACAATGTTGTAAAAATATAGTTATCAAAATATTAACACAGATTGCACAGAATAACACACACTGAAAATATGATTAAGTAAACAGATCTAAAAAATGTAGCTATCTAACAAATTTTTTCGTTTAGCATCTTACAAATCTTTCATTTAGCATCTTAACTGTGCGCAATGAAGCAATTTTTTAAGCAGAAAAGCACAAAACTTGCATTACTTAAAGTACAAGTAAGTTGATTGGCTACAAAATTTTAAACTAATATAGCCTTAACATGGACACCTAAAAGCAGAAAAGAGTATGTCGCAGAAGAGAAAGCTAACAGATAATTTACAAAGTAGGCTTACTGGCCTCTAGGCCCAAGTGCCACATGATTGGTAATACTTACAATTGTGAATAACCTAGACAAGTCTACTCCTTCCGGGACGTGTGAAAAGTTCTGGTAACGACTCTTTACACCACCAGCATCAGTGAAGTATGCTGTTTCTCTCAACCTTCTCTTCAACTGATTGCCTGTAACATATCCAGAAATTGATATTTAAATGATAACTCATTATAATAAAGTTGAATTGGCCTGCCCATTTTGCACAAGAACCGAGATCGAGCAAACTGTGCACTAATGAAAAATTAGTGCACAGTTGGTATAGGAAAATAATATTGTGAGTCATGTCACGAATGACTTATAAATGGTAAATAGTTGATCACAAATGATAATCACTAATTTATAAATTATTATATTAATGTTTAAATTATGTTTGGATGTCATTTCACGTATGTAATACATAGAATCTTGCTCAATACAATGCATTATGTTTGCGACATAAAACAAGTTATTTATTTATTTATTTAATGACATTGTAATAGTAATGATGACCAAAAATAATGAATAATCATTAAATGTAAAGACATTGTAGTACAGTGCTAAAAAATAATATGCAAACAAATTATATTGTAATGGTAATCGATAATAATTGAAGTAATTATATGAAATGATAATTATAGATATTAACTTAATTATGTTGCAATGATAATAGAAAAATACTTACAGTTAAATAAATATTATTGATGTTGATAAAGTCAGCAACGGCAATTAAGTAAATGACATGAAAAAGAACAGAATGCAAAGCAACTTTATCAGATAAAGTAAAGTTAAAAATGTAAACAAAATGAAACATATCTCTATTCAACTACTATATAATTAACAATAAACATGATATAGCTTAACAAAAGAAATATAACACATAGCCCACAAGAGAACGGATCATAGTGATACAAATATCAACAAAATAAATGTTATACAGTATATTCACTCAAGTTCTTTGTAAACTAGACCACTTCGTAACTTTACTCTTTAAATAACACCACTGTTCATTAACACCACTATCACTTTTTAAAACACCAACCTTCACTACAGTTATATCAGATTGCCACAATAATAATCAGAGTACAGCATAATGCAGTCATGCTATCAGACAAAGCAGAGATGACTGTATATTGGCCAACAAGATGCAGCGTGCACCCGACTTTACAGTTCAATACACTGTTCATTAACATCACTGCTTATGAACCCCAAATTCTCACTAATCAATAATAATATATGATTATATGTGGTGATATTACAATATAAAACATAGCCACGATAGTTTTGTTACAAACTTTTCATTATGGTTTTATCACAAAAGGATTTAACTTTCTGGTATTTTGTAAGAAAACCTTCATTATGAAAAACAACATTCCTACGAAAATCAGAGAACTCTTTCTCTACCACCATATTTTTTTCAAAATACTATATGTAGAGTACTGGCTTGCCCTAACAACAGATCATACACATAGAGATCTGTGCCCTAACCATACAAACTTTGAACATTGCAATATGCAAATTGCTTCAATGTAACCTTTGACCTGGCAGATTCAAGTTAACTGAATATCCACGTACCAGTATCTGTAGGGGTATAAAAATAGCCAATTGCTTATCATAAAATTTAATAATTAATTTATTTATTCATTTTATTGTATTAAAATTATTTAAAAAATATTATTTGTCTGGAAAATGGGAGGGTAATCTTAAAAATTAAGATGGTCCACTTCAAAGGGGATACTTTCTAGAAGGGATAGATACACCACGCAAAGATCTGAATAGAATTTATTATTATTAATTAAAGTTCCACTTTTGAGGGTCTAATTAATAACTCATTAGTCATACAATCAGTGTAATATTCTTGGGGTAACCATCCTCACACAGACATAAGGGCTCAAACTAAATGGTAGCCACCTTCACAATAACAAAAACATGACGGGTGCTACAATGGTAAACACTCTCATACAGGGGCTGAATCTACTGTAATGTGGTAAAAACCCTTACACAGACAAATACGACAGGGGCTGAAGCTAATGTGGTGAACACAGGGTTAAACACCCTTAGATAATGGGGACACAGACACAAAAGAAAGGACAGATGCTACAACAAGATAGTATAATACATACTGCAAGTATCGAAATGCACCCCATCGTGTCGGGATTCAATATTTCAAAATTAATTATGTCATCATCATTCTGATGATTCTGAAATATTGAATCCCGACACGATGGCGTGCATTTCGATACTTGGAGTTTGTATTATACTATCATATCTGAGATTAATCAGTGGACCTTTCATGCTACAGCAATGTAATGAAACCCTTACACAACACAAGAAACTCGAACGTGGCAAATACCCTCATACAGGGACTCGCATCTAATGTGGGTAAATACAGAGGTAAACAACCTCACATCATATGAGTAAACGGACACAAAAAAAGGGCAAATGCTATTGTAATGTGAAAACACCCTCACACAACACAAGGGACTCTAGCTAATGATTAACCTCACAAGTATTTATCTAGTCTTTATAAATTAATATCGGTAGTGAATCAATAATCGGTATTGGTATTAAAATCTTCATCAATTATCATTATTATTATAAAATATACTGTATTGAAATAGAGGGGTAAATTATGGTATTCAGGTAAAGGTTTTTACAACTGGTACAGTATTTTGATTACTGATAAATATATCAGTTTGGTTGGTATAAATGCAATTATTACCTGCAATTATTCACTCATAACTATGAGTTTCTTGACAACAGGTACAACAGGATGATGCATTATACATCAGATGAGACAAATTTAATATCTTATCTCATGAATATTTTATGCATTATTCATGAGATAACTTCACATAATGTATCTTGAATTATTATTCATATAATAAATTATATCTTATCTGAATTATTTATAAGATACAGTGAAATGTATCTTATGAATTATTCATGATAACATAACTTATAAGAAAAATCAGGGTCAATCAAGGAAAATTACTTATTTCAGAGGCTCTATATTACAAAGAATATCAGAGGGAAGAGTAGGTTCCACAACCACATCAAAAACACTAATGTTATGTTTAGTCCTTAGACTTACCGACATCTGAAATGTAGATAGAAAAGAAAGAATTCTGAATGTTCTTTGTTTTGAAAAAAAAAATAAAATTGTAAATTCCACACTTGGTCAGTAACTGTGTTAATAATTCTGATCTGGTTACAACATTTTAATGCAATTCTAGTAACCCATACAAAAGATGAAACTGTACAGACATCCATGGTACAAATAAAAAAGGCTATACCCCACACACCCCAGCCTATGCCCATGTCTTACCCAACACAATTAAACTGTTTCCATAATCAAGAAAAGAATCATGTAATTGCTAGTTAAAGAATAGAGATATTAAAACAGCTCACAATGAAATGTAATTCATGAATATTTCTTACCTGTCAAGAACATTGTAAAAATCAATAAAATCTGTGATTTTATTACCCGTGTAGATTGATGAAATTTTTCAATGCATTCCTTACCTGTTTATATTTTAAATTAGTTAATATAAGTCTTTAAATTCCCTACCATTATCCCTATTCTATCAATACTCTAATTTTTGTTTTAAATATAATAGTTTTTCATGGTTTTAAATTCTGGTTAACATAGCCTGTAGAAGACAAATAATGAAATTAGTACTCAAGAGAAAACATTTAGAATGGAATTCAATTTGGAAGGAAATTGCTTGGTTGAAAACACAGATGAATGTAGAGGTGCTGGATAAAGTTTGAACAAAATAGGTTACTGATGTGTACAATTTACAGACAGAAAATAAATTTTGTTGGTCCTGATATAAGGAAACAATTGTTTAGTGCACCTTCTACCTGTCCAAGTGAGTGATACATTTTAGAAGAGGCAGAGAGGCTTAGCAGCCAATGTCAGTAACAGACACAGCAACGATTGGTCAATGTATAGAAAACAAATATTGTACTAACTTTGTCGTCTGTGTTCGTATGCTGGGTTCTGAAACCTTCTTCTCTGAACTGCTTCACCAAGCTAAATAAAAAATGGTATAGGTATTTATAAATTTCCAAGTTTTTCAAATATAGTTATATTTAAATACTGTAAATATTAGAACCTATTGCAGCTGAAGCTTTCTTATATTCTATAAAGTTTTTATGTTTTATTAGCCTAAAGCCTGCCCAGACTGTCATTTTATTTGACAAAAACATGTGTCTTGCCTAAATATGGTCATGATGACATCACATCATGACCATATATAGGCACATCATGACTATATATAGGCACATCATGACTATATATAGGCACATCATGACCATATATAGGCACATCATGACCATATATAGGCACATCATGACCATATATAGGCACATCATGACTATATATGGGCATACTGTAGTTTGTCAGACAAAATTTGACAGTGTGGACAGAGCTTTATAAACATCAAGACCAATAAAATTATCGTTATTAAATTATCTTAGGCTATGTTCTCACACGGCAGCTAACGGTTAGCAGGATCTGGATCCTGCTAACCGTTAGCTGGCGTAAGTCCATACGAGAAAATCCCGATCCAGATACCAAAAATATGATGATCGAATCACTGGCCAATAAGAAACTGGAAATTGTAAACGTGTACGTGTGATTGGTTGATGATAAAAACATGCTCACTTGCTAACCGATAGCGCTTGCTAACTGTTAGCGGTATCCGGATAACGCTAACGGTTAGCGCTAACCGATCGGGTGTTCTCGAACAGGTGCTAATGGTTAGCTCCCGATCCTGATGCTAGGGCTCTCGTGAGAACCAGGCTTATTTGTTTATTTTTCCCAATTTTAAAGGGGGAAAATAAAAAAGATATCTATATACTATCCCAATACATACATAGATTTTAATATTTCAAATAAATAAAAAAAATGTATTTCCTTATTTTTCAATCATTTTGTAACCCCTTGAAATGTTGTCATATACAAAATATAAGTTGGAGCAAATGAATCATTAAAATTTACTAATTTAATATTAAATCAGAATAAATCTTACTTGGTTTCAACCGTAATCTGTTCTTTAGTAGACACTTCACTGAAATGAAAAGAATGAAATGTAAATTCTTTAATAGAAAATGTTACAGTACATGTGAATGAAAATAGAGTCAAACAGTAATTAATGTTAAATAATGGATGGCTTAGAATAAGGAAATGGAACATAATAGACATATTAACACATAATAATAGGATTTTTAAATATTTAAATACTGGAGGAAAAAGGTGAAAAAAAAAGGTGGTTATGCCCTTTTTTCTCAGTTTTTAAATGTTTAAAAATCAGTATTTCATTAACTGTTTTTTGTCAAACACACTTTTTGTGTCAGATTAAAAATTAGTTGTACAACATATTAAAAGCTTTTTTCATCAGGAATCTGGCTTTAAAATGATTTATTGAAAAACACTCACTGCTTCAGCATGTCCTTAATACGAGCTTGAAGTTCATTTTTCTGCAAATAAATATGGAATCTAGCATTTAATTTATTCATTAATATAATTATCATTATTAAGAAATAATAAATTAAAAAAATTATGGGAACAGCAATTTATCTGTAAAAGGCACTAGAGAAGTATTTAAAATAAGGTAACAATTAACCAGTAGTTGATAAAAATTAATTGTAAGTAAAAAATCAAGCTATATTTATTCAGCCTAAAAGTAAATATTCTGACTTTGAAATACATACGTCATAATCTTGGCGCTTTTGTCTTTGTCCAAGGTCAAACACGTCGCCATAAAATTTTGTCAACTTGTTGTGAAAATTCTTTGCCATTGTGACAAGTTTTTCAATGGTGGGCTTTCTGCCAAATTCTACAGGTGGATACTTTTCATCAAGATGCTGGTTCTTCATTGCATCCAACTGATCTTTAGTCATCTTTGACTCCTCCCTTGCACGAGCAATGTTGGCCTGCAAACAAATTTTAAAGTAAGTAAGCATAAACACACAAAATTTGTCAATGAAAATTGTTTTTGAGAAATGAGTATACAATCAACATGAAGCATAGGAAACTCAAACGTCGCATCTGACTCTCTGCTATAATAGTAACTGGCACTTCAACACTCCAAATTGAAACACAAAAAGAGAAGAGATGGATTTAAACCAAAGACCCAAGGCCTCCACACACATAATAGCTATCGCCACTTTAGATGACTGAGCCATGCTGCTGTGTGATACTGTAACATTTTCATTAAGAGGACACTTCGGGGGAAAAAAATGTCCCCTTAATGATGTCCCCTGTTTAGGGGTTGTTAACAGGTATATTTTTTTCTTTGATTTGTGGCCAAAAAAGTGTCCTCAACAGGGCTGTCCCCTTAATAGGGGGTTAATAGGGTTGTCCCCTAATTGAGGTGTCACTGGATCCATAAACTTAAGCCTACAAACTTACAGCAAGCATTCCGGCTTTACCACCCCCAGCGGCTGCAGCCGCCGCCATGGCTTCCAGTTGCTTTCGCTTCTCCTCGGCTTGCTTTCGTCTTTTCTCAATATCCTCACGACGTTTTATAGCAAGCTCCTGTACACATCACCAAAATAAAAAAGTAAACTTTATCAAAGATTGCATATGTTATCAAGATTAATAATAGAAATATAATTGTAATCCATATCCAGATAAAATAATAGATATCATTTCAATCCTTATCAAGACTATTACTGGCTAGAATTTTTATTTTATCAAGACTGATAATAACATAAATGACCAAATAAGCACAACAGTAAATTTTGCTTAGGTCTGGTTCGGCCTTACTCAAGAAAGGCAATTCTTCAGGAAAGGTGCATATTACAAATTACTGGATAGACAAAAATGGGGCCATGTTTAACATAGGCCTATCTGATTTGTTGCATCAATCTCATTGTATAGCCTGTTGATTAATAGTGCCAAAAGTTAAAATACATAATGGAATGTTGGGTAATATGTACAGTACTCTTATCTTGATTAAAGGTGCATCCACACTGAATCCAACTTTTTGGATGAGAAAGGCTACTGAACCGATCAGAACATCAAATCAGTATATGAAAATAGGAATATTTAGTTCAGCGCATTGAAAACACAGTCCGAATTTCTGTTCAGCTTAAGCATTGCGATGTTTACTAAAAATAGAATGTATTTTTACTAACTGCCACAACACATTCAATAATAATAGATATCAGTGGCGTATCTAGGGTACTGAAATGGGGTCTGATGGGGGAGAGAAGGTAAAGTGGGAGGGCTAGGCTTGATGATAAAGTGAGGTGGCACTAGCTGGCAAAATAAGTGGCAATGAGGTGACTTTTACTTTAGCCATGGTGTTTTTGTGTCAACAATTTCCAGGGTGGGGATGACTGGGGAGGAGAATAGCTTTTTTGGGAGGATTGTGCTCCCCACATCCCTTCCTAATTCTACTTGTAAAAATATATGTGCATTAAGAAAATAACAGTACACCAACTTGTGGTTTGGTGGAGTTGTCATGAGGCAGCAATGTTTTTAAGAAAGGTAACTTGTGAGAAATTAGTAGCATAATGTGGTAGATACACATAAAAATATAATATAAATGCTCAAATTATTATGGTAGGCTTACCTCTTCTCTCTTGACTCTTTGCTCCTCTTCTTCTTGAATACGACGAGCCATTTCCTCTTCTTCCTTCCTTCTTTTCTCCTAAGGAATTATAAGGAATGATATATATAGCAAATCAGTAAATTATTCATAATATTTCAATATCATTCTTTCTTTTTATATTATCATGATGTTAATTAAAACAATTTACAGCAATTCTATACCAAACTTTTTGCATCTTCTTCAAGAAATGTAATTTTCCATGTTTGATTTTGGAAGATTGCTTACCATTCGTTCTTTCATCTCAGCAAGCCTTTTCTCTTCTTGCTCTTTCTGGATACGCCTTTTCTCCATATCTTCCGCTTCTTTCTGCCTGTCTTCCTCTTCTCGCCTCAAGCGCAGTTCCTGAATTACGAATACAAATAACAGCCTTTTTATAAGAGCACATTTATATAATATAATTTCACTGGTACAGTATTTCATGACATTGCCCGATTCATTAGGCATTTGTACCTCTCTATAAAATAGTCCTATATTGTGCTAGTATGTAGAAATAAACTACAGGAATGCAAAACTATGTCAACTTTTTCTATGAAATAAAAAACGAAAAATCATCTGAAAAGATCAGGAAAAAAGAGTTTTAACTTACCTCAGCTACACGTACACGTTCAGCTTCTTCGTCAGCCATTTTGAGTTCTTGGTTTTAGTCAGCTGCAAGAAAGTTTGTATTAGCATAATTATTCGAATAAATGCCCCGCTTTGAATAAACTCCCACCTTGATAGCCTCATTTGGGTTAAACGCCTCCATTGGATTAAACGCCTTCCCCCCCCCCCCCCAAAATTACTGTAAACAAATTTAATGGAAGCAACATCACCCTCAACACATTTTGCTATTGTTCTGCTCTATTAGAATTATATTTTGGCTTGGATCGATAAGTTTTTATGATCGTGCAATGACACACTTTTACGGTAATTATGTGTTGTAGTGCCACATTTACAGTGAAATACATGCCTCCCTCAAATAAATGCCTCCCTCAGAACAATAACAGTCCTGGGGCGTTTATTCAAATAAATACAGTATATAAATATCACTATTTTCTTATACATTTTTTTTCTTGAATTTTATGAACAGATTATCAACTTATCTGAGAAAAACAAAAAAATATACTCTAGAATCCCATTGCATTATATAGTTTTTACATACACATTAAATGAAATTAATGTTTGACAAATAATATTTTTTATCTTCTCTTTACTTTTAATAGCTTATGTTGCATTTGAGAGAAATATATCTGAAAAATAAATTTATTAATCTCCAGAAAGTGAAGTCAAATGCAACACAGCATGTATGAACTAAAAATAAAATGCTTAGAAGAAAATAATCTAAGCAAATTAAGAAACATCAAATGTATATAATTTTATAAGATAAAAATAAAAATGATATGATGCCAGAACAGAAATTATTCATTTCAAAGTTTTGTTCATGTACATAGAGGCAATTTTATTGTATTTTGCACTACATTTTACATTATTATTATTATTATTATTAATTATTATTATTACAGTATTATTATTATTATTATATTGAACATTAATTTTGTTTATTTGTGATTACAATTAATCTCATTATGTACACATTTATTTTATTTAAAATATCTATTTATATATTAAATATTTATTGAAATTAAAAGAAATAACTTTATTAAAAACTCTAACTCAGATCAACCTAAGAGTTCAAAATAAAAATAATGCAACTTACAAATGAAAAAGGAGGTACAAAGTCGACAAGTTTGGCTTTGCTCCAATCGTAAGAGGATGCAGTGAAGGAGTGCTTAGCTTGCGTCTTCTAACTATCATACACTAACTTTACCCACTACCAAATAAAGTCCCCTGACCTTTTCTGCTATGTATACTATGCATGATTGGTATGTTGTCATGTGATAAGTGTGTAGCCAATCAGCAACCTGGAAGATTGATACTTGGATATCACACATTCTAATTCGGTACAATATGAAGCTATGAATATGAACATGCATGACCATAATAAACAAGGTCATAGTTCATAGTCAAGTATTCTACTATTCTAAGAATACTGTAGATGTCACAAGGTAAAAATGATTACTGCTCATAACAACATATACAAATGACAGGTGATCCATTTATCACCCAATTCTCAAATTACTGTACATTTAAAATTACTGTAAATCTAAAATTAAATTTGAATCTATTTATAGCACAATTCTATTACACTTGATAAATACTGTTATGATTCAGAAGTGATATCAAGAATAAAGAAAATGTTTTTTTAATGTAGAAAAGGCTGCCTTTTCCCAAAGGCACATAGCACTGTGAGCAGCCGCCTCAGATTGATAAGGTATGCGATTCTTATAAGATGTCATTATTGTCATACAAATATATAATGAAATACACCTAAAAACAATTTTTGTTTAAAATAAAACAATGCATTTCAAATGGGATGAGTTTTGTAAAAATATGCAGGTTACTGTAAGATTGTATAAACTCAAAGATACTAAATTATCTGTTTATATTCACTAAATTATTTAGCTAACATTGATCAACAATCTATATAAGCCACAATCAATTAACTGCTAATTACAGTAACAATCTCATTAACATACATTTACCCAGTGGTGCCAGCAGTGAGTCCATGGAACACAGGACCCCCTGTCGAAAAAGTCTGGACCCCTGTCAAGGAACACAGTTTTGAACAGCATTTTTACAGTCAAAGAGTGCTATTTCCAGTCGTCTAGAGGTCTAACCATAATGGAACAGTGGCGGATGGGACTCTAGTTGAGGGCTTTAGATCACTCATTGGAAAATTTGTACCCCTCTGTCACTATCACTACCTTGATAGATAAGTTATAAAATTCCACAACAATAAAACAAACACTCAAGACCTATGTTTAAATTAATTATCAGTGTATTTTATTTTCACTTGATTTTAAACAAGAATATTACTGTACGAAATAATGATCAACTTTTATTCTTATAAAGTATTATGATTTATAAAACATAGACAAATATTAATTTGTGAAATATTAAGGTACATTGGAATTCCTCTAATTTACTGTCCAAAGAACAAAAATTATCATAATAGTAATAAGTTAACCGTAAGGGGCCTATGGTACAGCAATAAATCATGGTAATTAAGTTGACCATAGAAGGTCCGTGGTACAGTAATTAAATAATAGTAATTAATCAAATTAACAATAGGGGACCATGGTAGGTGGTCCATTAGTAAAACATTTATGGTATGTGCCTGAGTAACTACCATGGTAACTATCCAAGTTAGTCAACCAATGCATCCAAAAACTAAGATGGTTTGTACTATCCCATGGATGATTCTGAGCCTCCATCATATCTCTGCATTATAGACTAGTGGTGCACTCTATTCCATGGTATGAATAAATAAGTAAATTTTAAAGCATGTACAGAGTGCCCTACCATTTTCTGATGTCATACCTCCAAGCACTTCTTAAAGACAGGCCTTCCAACTATGTGTCCTCTTGCAGTAGACAGTCTTTTCAAAGAACCCTACGGATGCTGATGCCTATAGGGCTGACAACCTTTACGGAAAGGCCTGCAATGCATATGCCACAATCTAGCCTTTTCCTGATCTCAATTATTCATTCATTCAACTGCATTCAACTTCTTGAAAGCATAAGCTTCCCCACTAAATATTTCCACTCTTATCTCAAAAGTTTCCAATGACATACCACATGTAAACTAGATGATCAACAAAAGTCAATCCAGAAATTTCCATTTCTAAAAGTTGACTGATAAAGATTTGATGTGCTTTGATTTCATAGCAGCATTCACAATCTCAGCTTTACTCAATTTACACATAAACTGTCAATTTTTCGATAAAGAGTACAAGTTGTTCCATGAAGCTGGCATGTTGTTACTTCGACGGCATTTAGAAAGATTCAAAACAAGATGATTGGTAGTTACATCAACTCAATATGCTTGTATCTTTCTTGGGTCTACTTTCTCCATTGTTACAATACTATTTAAAAATTATTTAGGAAAACTATGCTTTTTAAAAAGGCAATGTATGCATTGTATGCACTTGCAGAATATGGTAATGAAACAGTAGACTGATTTCAACTGGATTAAAAGCACTTAACTGCAGTAGAAATACAAACTATTATATTTCTTTCGTTCAGTGGCGATGCTCGAATTGATTGTTACTGATTCAAATATATTTCTTGAAATACTGCATCGAGTGGAAATCAGCCTTATAACAAAAATCACAAAGCCTGTATTCCAACTGAAGTGCCAAATTCTTCCTAAGTAATACTGAATAAACAATAAAAAATAAATTTTGTACATCTCTGATTATAAAGGATACGGTTTAAGTTGTTCTGCAAAGCATTTGATATCATCAGCGATAGCATCTGAAGCAGATGCCACAACCACACCCAATTCCACTAAGTGTGAATTTGATACTGGTTCCAGTTTATCAAAACTACCTGGATTCACAATCTAAAAAGAAAATTAATATCAACAAATAACTTAAATGGTCTTTGAATATTGTATCATCACTTGGTTAGTTTCTTCCCAATCTTTCCCTTAGGGATTAAACTAATATGTCCTCGGAAGTAAAATGCTAAACTTCACACAGTATTCCAGTGCCAGTGAAAGGGGCAGGGTACCATCCTACAGGCCAAGCCAATCCCTTATCAGCCAATCTTTTGCACATATTACTGTAAAAACATCCCAAAACTGATGGCCCAAAACTAAAAGGCTTTTTAGGCATCACAAGATTAGCCCCTGGACCCCCATAAGGGCTCCACCACTGGAACCTGGTGGCCTCCACCGAAAATTGTCATACACTGAGTTGGACTGCTTTGCCCCTAAATGTACACCTTAACACCCTAAAACAACCACCCCAATACTGCATCCTACCCTTGCAACTGCTAAACAGATACTTACCTTGTATAATTTTGTAACAGTAACCTTCATCTTGCCTTTCCGAAACATGTATCCCTTACACACTAATTCATAATCCATCCTGCAAAATACAAAACTGGCCAATAAAAATGGTTGTACAATTCCACATTTATATGGAAGCGTTTGTATTTAACGATATACTTTCTATTCATTGTGCACTCAATAATAGTATATACATACTTGAAACCTATTTCTGTTAGAAAGTCTGGTAGGTTTGGTCCAGTGCATGTATCTAAATAGCTACGCATTGCTGCTCCTCTGTTTTTATCACCCATCTCAGGTTGACCTAAGTAACGAAGCTGCCTAGAAGTAAATGAAAAAAGAAGACCTTATATTTCAAGAGATTTATATGTGTAAGAAGAGTATAATTCATGAATGTTACAAAGTTGATAATTTCTTTTTAAGATTGATTGATTGAATTTATTTAGTTTCATACAAATATACATACAAAGCACAAACGAAGACAGAATATTACAACATACAAGATACTAAGGATAACACAAAGTTAAAAATGAAACAATATTATTATACAGTAGGATTATAAGAAGTGTAAACATCACTGTGAAATACTCTAAATGTTGAGTATAATTAAAATTTGACAGATTATTTATTTAAAATGTAGACCCAATCACCCTATCATTTATTATTATTATTATTACTGTATTGTATATTTATATAGCGCATATCTAAAGATCTATACGCTTAACAATTCCAAATTAATCATTATTTATTTTATCATTTAATTGTTAATTAATAAAACATTTATAATTCAAAGAATTGTGAAATTACAAAGTGTGACGGTAAACAAAGCAAGGTCTCAATGGATCAACCATCCGTCTCTGCCCCGGCGCAATCCCAGACCTCTACCTACGGTGGCGCGAACAAAGGAGCAGGTTACACATTTGCCCTGCCACAGACGAATGGGTACTCGGGGACAGTGACCAAGATAGTGGCCCCCAGAGACAGAGCAGTCAAATTTGTAATCAAAAGAGAGAGAGAGAAAGAGTAAGAGAAAAAAAATACAATAAACATTTATATAATATAACCATAGAGAAAAATATATCAATTAATATATGTTCTCCATTATATAACTGATTGTGTGAATTATGTAATTACAAAACATTACCAGGCCGAGTCAGCAGGTTGGTCCAAAGCATGTCTTGCTCGAAGTGAAATTACATTTTGCGCATTGTTACCTACAGCAAGAAATCATAATCCAATTAACATCATTTCTTACAGGTTATTATTTTCAAGATTTTGTAAACTTTGAATTTATTTTCAATGGGCCTATACATTAGGCCCATACGGTAATTAAAGACCCCTCCAATTAAAAACCATCTCTAATTATCTTTATCATTCTAATTAGAGATCAACTGCTGCTAAAGACCATGGAACCACAGGTCCCAAAAGTAGCCTTTAATTGGGAGAAGACCTGTACTTAACTAAATTAACACATTAAAATATATGACCCAGTAGAATAGTAAACCATGCTAACTGGTCTGAGAATAGCGTTGATGGATTCCAAGTTGGTTGTTGGACCAAGTTGGGATTGGTCCAAAGTGAAAAGCTATAGGCCTACACAGTGGAGGCTCTAGAAATTTACCCCCAGGGGGTTGAACCAAGGGGATGGATTGTAGCCACTGCTGTAGCCAGCTATTGCGACAGTTGGGACAGTCCCACACAATTTTTCTAATGGGTCCACAAAGAATGGGTCCACATTTTAAAAAATGGGTTCAAATTATGTAATTTTATGCACAAAATGGGTCCACTTTTTGAAAAATGGATTCAGATTTCTCATATTTAGCTTTAAATGGGTAAAATTTAAGAAAATGGGTCCATATTTTTCATATTTTTGCACAAAATGGGTCCTCACTGTTTGAAAATCCTGTCATTGCTCGTAGCAGTTACGTTATCACCTTTTGCTGTGCATATACATGTATATATTATGTATTAGCTGTCCTGCATAATAGCATTGGTTGCATGTTTTTGTCGGTACTGTACTACTACAATTCACACTTAGTTGCGGCTACACGTATGAGTAAAAATGGCCCATTCAGTATTTTTGCACACCTCTTTGCCCAACCCACCCACATTGGAACCACCAGTGCTTCGCCCAGACAATGGTGGCTCCAGAAATTTGCTGACAGGGAGTTAGACATGTCCAACCGCGGGAGGGGGAGGGGAGAGTCCGAACCAAAGGGGCGGATTAGGGCCTTGGTCAGGGTCCTGGAATAAAAATCCTTTTTAGCCTTCACTGGGAGAGTTTTTATAGATAGCCCTTATAGCTACAATATCAAGGATTGGCAATCAAAATAATCATGTCATTGGCCAGGCAAATTATTATTTTTGATCTGACAACCTTGTCGTGGCATTGGACGACAACAGTTGGTTAAGGCCTGTTTAATACAATGCACCCTGCACCCCTGTTGGCGCCACCACTGCGCCCAAACTGCTGGTATAATGCTTAATACTACTAGGCCTAATACTATATAGTAATAATAGGCCTACTAGGCCTAGATCAGGAATCATCACACCTGTACTAAGTAAGTCATCTTACTACTGAAATTTGTAACTCTAGCTACAGTATGACTCCTATTCAAATAAATATCCTAAAACTATTGCAGGAGATGTACAGTAGGCAATTGTCTTACTTCGGAGAGCATAAACAATCTCATGATCATTGAAGGTTTCAGGATGGAGTTGTACATTGTCACAGAGTGCTTTCAGGCGGTGAACCAACGTCTCCCTAGCGCTGTCCAAAACGCTACCTTGTAGGTAATACTCCTGGTTTCCTACGTTTCCAATTGTAGATCCAAACGCACCTTGTAAACCTGCATTCATCCTAATAAATAATAGTATCGATATAGGTATTTTCGAGACAGTAGAACCAGGAAGCGTAAACAAAATCAAACTTTCCTCCAAATCTATCGCATGTGTTGCGTTGTATCAGATCCAGTTGTACAGTATTAAGCAGTGCGCCCTCTTTCGGAAAATATTAAAATCTCTTAAATAAGATATAAAAAAAACTGTTTCTCATTCACAAGTTAAAAAATTTAAATAAGTCACAGACCAAATAAAAGTAAGTTTAACGTTTTAGCTCCATGCAAAGACAGGTAAATACCTGTAGTTTAAACATTCGCTAATAGGGATCGGACATTTAGTTGAATTTGGGGGTTTATTATGTCTTTTGCCATAAATATTTTCTTTTTTATGTATATTATCTTCGGACAAACAAAACACAATATAATAAATGAGTCCTTACAAATAAAACATAACACAAATGCATAGTTTCTTTCATATTGTTTTTTATTCCAATTCTCATGCTACGTATAAACCAGTGGCATACAATTAGCAAGCAATAATCTTAAAAACAAAAATGAATTCATCATCTAAAATATTTTATGCAGTTCATACACAATGTCTTATTGATTTTATCCATAAAGATTCAATAATATAGAATCTTTAATATTATTACAACACTCAAGTTGCAAAATATGTATTTATTTTATGTAATATTGTCTTATAAAATTTAGCACCATTGCACTTTATCATAGGAAACTATATTCTCTATTCCTAAACTGCTAATATGTATTAAGATCCTATTAACAGAACAAAGTCTCTCTTACAATTTGACATCTCTACATTGGAACACACACCCCACACTAATTCATGTTTACCTGCCGTCCTACATTTTTTTTTTAAAGGGGACACTCCTCAAACATCAACTACAGGACTCAGTAGCGGATCCAAGAATTTTAAATAAAGGGGGCCCCAGGGAGGGACTTTGACAGATGGAGGGTCTATACCACCTCAGACCCTCACCATGCTTGGGGCTGAGTAAGAAAATTTACGATTATGTCACCTCTAAAAGGCCGGCAATGGCACTCTCTCTCTTAAAATTTGAATGTAATTTTCTTTTTTTCTCTGGCTAGGCTCCCTTGAATCCGCCACTGGGACTTACTGTCTAATTTCTCTCTGATCATCACTCTTAATTTTGGATGCACATCCTTTCACATTAACAGGATACACTGTCTAACATTTGTAAGAAACATTTTTAAAAATGTCTGCAATGATTTTACATTAACATACAATAACATCTAAAGCAAAATAACAAATATTACATGATTCTTTTCCCTTCTTTTTAGTTAGTTTTTGAATATGACAAAAAATGTAACCCAGAAGTACAAAAAAAATATATAGTTCATCAAACAATGAAATGAAATTTGAATTACTTTGGGGAAAGCAGCATTATAGAATCTCAGAGAAAGGACATGTTGGCCATCTTGAAAAAAATAACTAAAGACGCACCTATTAAAAAGGGCCTGCTCTCTTTTTAACAGACAATGAACATGTAATTATTATTTAACCTAGCCATAACACTCATAAACCTATCAAAATGATGGTATTTTTTTGTTTGCTTCTTAATTTGCAACATCAAATTCATGAATTTTAGTTAAGTATACAGTGCCTCAGTAGATTCTTTAACTTAACTTTAGCACTAAATGTATAACACTACTTAAAGTACATGCATAGCAGATCACAAAACATTATACTCATTTATGTTTTGCTTAAATAATTATTTAAAACGTAAAATGCATACATTTATATATTGTATTTATGAAATACATTTGAAGTAATAATCTCAAGGTATCTGTTATCAGCAATTTATAATTATTAATATATTAAATTCATTAATTATTAAATATTGTTTGACTCAAGGTGGTTTACATTAAGTGCTATATAATTACTGAACTATTATAATTATTTATGAATTTCATAGTACATGCTTTAGAATACATTAGATTTGTGTATTTCTGAGGATTTCTGAATGAATTCTAAGTTACTGATATTTTTGACAGTTTACTGTACGTGTATTCTAAACCAATAGCAGGTTTTAGCCCCTTGCATTATTTTTAATGTGTATGATTTGGTTTTCTCATATTTTTTAAAGAATTTTTTTAAAGAATTGTGGTGTTAATAATCTTTTATATTAAGTATACTCTGTTAACAGACATAACCATTTCATTTACAAATAAATAATATTGAAAGCCTCAATTTAAACATTAAAATTTGTTGGAATGAAATTAATGAATGATTTAATATACATTTTTAGCAATTGCATATATTTAATTTTAGTCTCTTAATAATAATGATTGATTAATGCACTTAAAAAATATACTGTCTGTGGTGTCATATGTAAAATCCCCCCCTCCCTAAGAAAAAACCACAATTATCCTGAGGGTGGCAAACAGGGTGGAGTTGCTTTTAGTTTTAATGGGTAAAGTCTAGTGTTACAGAATTTGAACCCTGGACCCTGCTAATGGAAGGCGATCATCTTAGCCTCCAAGTTACTCCACATTGCAGAAATATAGTATTGTTCAAGTTATTTAACTCAACACAGTCAGTATATATTTAAGACTATTTTAGAAACAGCTTTGTATTCCTATTTACAACAAATAAATATATAAAAATATTTTTGAATATACACAAATAAAACATAAACATGGAAATCAATTGGTTCCTTCATAAAAAAACCAAATCTTACTATCAAAATAAGATTGAAAAAAAAACATACATTTTGTTAACATGCTACATAACACTTTGTGTAACTATGACATTTACCTATTGAATGTGATTTTAAAATTTTCTGCAAATAAATAAGTTTTAAAAATAATCTTTGGTTAAGCAAAATTCACAATATCTGCAAATATTTGCTATCACAAAACATAATCACATGACCAGATAGGTGGAAGAGTCATACACTGTCTGAATTACAGCCAGCTTATGAGATGAAACATTACTGGATTGGACCTACACAACAATGTCATCGTCATCTGTGTTTGGTTTTCTCCTGGTCGGTATTTCAGGTAGCTCTAGACTCCAGTTATGACTCGAACCTGAAAGATAATGGAATTGGAAGATGGTAAAATTAGGTGGAGTCCAGTAAAATGATTGAAACAGATCAATAAAAATAACAAATGCAATATAACATTAGATATTTCAAAGAAAAAAAAAATGTTGATACACAAATACATTTTTTTTCCTATTTGTATCATTGTGAATACTTTTGTTCTATTAACTCCAAATGTACTTTTCATTATCTAGTTCATTGTACTATTGGATTAGGTTTCTTTGGTTTGAAATACACCAAGGATAAGCCATTAAAAGTCAAAAACAATATACCAAGTGTAATCAATACTTACTTGATTTAATTGGCTCTAGCTTGGGATTTGAGATGGGACTAAGTTTTTGTGCATTTCCTTCCATTAAAGGTTCCAGTGATGGTTGTTTGGAAGCTTTGATGAAGATGTTCCTCTGTCCAGCAGGATTTGCCCATGATGGTGAGCCCAATGGATTTGGAAGGCCTGGTGCATTGACTTCATCAATGCTTTCCACTGGCATTGGTGCTGTTTTGTTGTTCTTTTTGAACTTTTTCTTTTTCTTCTTCTTTTTCACAATTGATTCATCTAAGGCAAAGAAAAATACTTCATGTAAAATCTTATGATGACACAATACAATTGTGCTTCTGTAATCACAAAAGGCTCTGTCTTGTGAGGTGCAACTGTGTAAATTACATATAATTTGTCATCTACAGTTCACAAATCATTGTAGTACATTCATTTACCAAATGAATGAATACCATTTTGTATCATGAAGACTAGAATGGATCAATAAATATACAATAATAATTGTATTGTATAATTTGTATAGTACACTCCACACTAAACAAAAATATGGTACAGTACATTATATGATTCACTTCCATTTGTACTAATGAAATGGAGAAAATGAGCCAAGCAAACATTTTATTTCAAAGTGGGAGAAAAAATTACTGTAACAACAGATAAATAATGAATACGAACTAGCATTTAAGATTTAAAATGAAAATTTAAAAAAAAACTTTCTCCTCTTATTACCACAGCTATCTAAGATTGAAAAATAACAGTCTATGATAAATAATGCAAAATAAAGAACTTAAATTACCTTCATCTTGTGATAATTCCAATTGACTTGATCTGCTGGCATTTAAACCTTTTTGCTTTCTTGCACTTAATTCAACATCATCTTCATTCTCATTATCATCCACTACTGTCTTCTTTGTTTTCTTTTTTTTCTTTTTAGTGACCACAATCTCTGGTTCTGATTCTGAATCCAACTCCCATGCTGCGGAACTCTTTTTATTTACATCATTATGTTTTTTTACATTGTCTTCAGCATCAAATGCTTTGTTTTCTACTCCTCTGGGAGATTTTTTCTTTGTTTTTTTAGTCACCACAATATTTCCATTACTTTTAGTCCTTTGTGTTTCTTGTGATTCATCACTTTCCTCTTTTAACCGTGGTGACTTTGCTTTAGTTTTCTTAACTGGTTCCTCATCAACTTCATGGTTTTCTTTACCAATCTTCTTTTTCTTCTTAGCCTTTTTCGTTTTCTGAAAAATTCAAAATAGTTAGATAATTAGTAACTGCTATCTTAATGAATGGATGAATTTAGAAATTTTGCCTGCCATCACCTTTCAACAAGCTAGGAATAGATAGAAGTGGGAGATTGGGAAAGAGGGCTTCCTTGAGCAGTGGAATGAAATAGCCTATGAGAAACTGGGATAATAATTCCTCTATATTATATCAGGCAACATTACATTGGAATTACAATAATTACAAAACTACATAAGGAATTTATTATAATGGATATACTGACCTTTTCCTCAAAATAGTTATTGTCAACTTTCTTGAACGGATCACCATCAATAACTTCTTCTTCTGATGACTCTACCTCACCATTTCGTTCCCTTTCTTCTTTCTCTCTCTTCAGTCTAAAATCATGAAAAACAATATAAAATGCTAACAAGTTATCTTGGATATTTTTCCTGCACACCAATGCAAAATACATGGTGATTTCACAAATCAGTAGGGGGATGTTGGTAGTCTAATGAGTGAAATACTTCCTGGATAAAACAACTAATTGCCTATTCTCTCTCTAAGAACACCCCTTCAAAAATGGAACACTCAGCCCCTGGTGCCAAGCATCCTTATTCTTCTTAAACCTCGTTTCCATAAAATCGCTACACTGTCGCTACAGTGTTCTCAGTACAATCATTGTACTGTATAGCAGTTGCCGACGCAATCAGAATGGCTCTTCGATTCGACCAACCAATCAGCATCACTGAAAGCTGTTGGCAATAGGGTGTAGCGATTCTATGGAAACCAAGCTTTAGCAAGGCCATTAGTCAGTTTATCCAGGTAAGTACTCATTAAATCGACTTATTTAGCTGATAGTGAAGTGGAGCTGTAGCTTGGTGTTTACGATGAGTCCAGGATCTAAATCTTGTCAGATACCAGGATTTGCATCATCACAAACAAAAACAACCCATTTCCTAAGCCTCATAAAGATACTTAGTTTATAGGGCATCATTCCATCTTCTAATCAGTGTTTTTCACACTATTGATTTGTAATTTGAGGTTACCATTGCCTACACACCTTTCTTCCTTTTGCTTCCTAATTTGTTCCATTCGTTCTTTCTTATATTTTTGCTCTGCTTCCCTTTGCTCTGCAAAGTCTTTGTCAACTCTTTCACTTAATTTTTCCCAATCATCAGACATTCCAGAGAGCAACCACTGGAAACCCTGGAAGATAGACTTGTCCATCTTCTTTCCAAATCCCTCGATAGCTGCACATGTTTCCTGGGAAAAGGATTCCATTAAAAGCATTAAAATATGCAGACAGGGAGATTGTATTACATGTGTACTATGAACAACCAATTACAAGTTCATCTGACATGAATCAAATGTACAGCATGGGCCACATCCCATGTGAACGTAAAATCCGTTTTTGCAAAAGAGTTAACAATTTCATTAGCTGCTTCAGTCCAACAGAAGTCTCTTAATATTCATTAACTGCATTTCAACTGTACATATCATTCTTACTTTAAAATTGTATATTATTTTTATGTTTGTTGTGGTGGCATTACTCTCACAGTAATGTAAATGTAGCTTTTTAATGCTAATCTCTGTCAATAGCTAGTGAATGTCTTCATGAATAGAACCAACCAATATCTGAAGAAGTCAGGATGGGTTACTAAGGAAGGATTATGTTTTAAAAAGTGCTTACTACCTTCTTTTATATTAACTAAAACAGCATTCAAATCCATCACCTAAATATGCTATACTGTATAATTAATTTATATTATCTAATCTGTATGCTAAGTGTATTGATTTGGTTTCTGCCACTCACTTTATTACAATCTAAAATTAATTATTTATCAGTCTATAAACAAAACAACTAAATATGAAATGAGACAAAATTACTTACAACTCTGCAGGGACATTTGCTGTCATTTACCATGTCCTCAAGATCTAACCGTTCGCACACATCAACTTCATCCAAAGCACCATCATTGTCATGCTTATTTGCTAAACTGCAAAACAAACAAAATCGTTAGTGGAATAGCATTGAGTAGACGTGTTTGCTTCTCTTTGAAATTCATAAAAATATAAAACTTACACTAAAATCCTCTTGCCACAAATTTTCTTATGTTCTAATGTTTCCCTGAGTGCCAGCCTGCATTCGTCAATCCTGTCTTCATCACTTGCATCTAGAACAAACACAACACCATGTACTTCAGCGTAATAATCCTTCCAAATGTCTCTGATCCTCTTCTCACCTCCAAGATCATATACAGTAACCTCATACTTCTTTTCAAATGTAAATTCAACACTTGAAAAGCCAACTGTCGGTGGTTCTTCAGTGTTGGCTTCTATAAGAAAATAAGAGTTACATTTTTAAAAGAGTTAACAATTTCATCAGCTGCTTCAGTCCAACAGAAGTCTCTTATTCATTAACTGCATTATATTATTTTTGTGTTTGTTGTAGTGGCATTACTCTCACAGTAATGTAAATGTAGCATTTTAATGCTAATTTCTGTCAATGGCTAGTGAATGTCTTCATGAATAGAACCACCCAATATTTGAAGAAGTCAGGATGGGTTACTAAGGAAGGATTATGTTTTAAAAAGTGCTTACTACCTTCTTTTATATTAACTAAAACAGCATTCAAATCCATCACCTAAATATGCTATACTGTATAATTAATTTATATTATCTAATCTGTATGCTAAGTGTATTGATTTGGTTTCTGCCACTCACTTTATTACAATCTAAAATTAATTATTTATCAGTCTATAAACAAAACAACTAAATATGAAATGAGACAAAATTACTTACAACTCTGCAGGGACATTTGCTGTCATTTACCATGTCCTCAAGATCTAACCGTTCGCACACATCAACTTCATCCAAAGCACCATCATTGTCATGCTTATTTGCTAAACTGCAAAACAAACAAAATCGTTAGTGGAATAGCATTGAGTAGACGTGTTTGCTTCTCTTTGAAATTCATAAAAATATAAAACTTACACTAAAATCCTCTTGCCACAAATTTTCTTATGTTCTAATGTTTCCCTGAGTGCCAGCCTGCATTCGTCAATCCTGTCTTCATCACTTGCATCTAGAACAAACACAACACCATGTACTTCAGCGTAATAATCCTTCCAAATGTCTCTGATCCTCTTCTCACCTCCAAGATCATATACTGTAACCTCATACTTCTTTTCAAATGTAAATTCAACACTTGAAAAGCCAACTGTCGGTGGTTCTTCAGTGTTGGCTTCTATAAGAAAATAAGAGTTACATTTTTAAATTCTAATATATAAGTGAAGTAGATTACAGTCCATACAATTATACAGCATATTATACTGTAACACATTTTTTGTGAAAAAGGAATTCAGAAATTTTACCCTAATGAGTATTTGGTTAAAAATAACAATTACAATTTCATTAAATTATTCCATGTTTAACATACTGATTTATCAACCGTACCTCCTTTTACCGCTTTGATGGCTGTTGTCTTGCCAGCATTGTCAAGCCCAATTAGCACCAGGGTCACCTTCCTGTAGAGAATTTGATTACTGTATTAATTACATTTGGGTCAATCAGATTATAATAACATGTCAATATTTTATAACTAGGTCTATGATAATTAGCAGAATAGCAATATACTAGTATTAGTTACAACTTACACAGGAGGAACTTTGAAAATCCACATATAGGCTACGTACTAGACGGACCACAGTCTACTTACTTTGTCGGCTCCTGGTGTTTTTTGATGCAAGCAAAGCAGTTAGCCATCAGACTGTACATGAAGCCTTCAGGATTAGCCAGTCCCTTGGTTCTACTGCCACAGTCTCTGGAAATCAATCATAGGCACTTATTATTTAATAAGCTAACAATTATTAGGATAAAAAAATGCAGAATTCACAAAATGATGATTTTTTTACAAGTTATCTTTTTACAGTTTATTGATTGAAAAATCTGGTCATACATTGGCCACTGGAGTTTGTCTGACCTATTAATGATGAAATAATCAGGCCTTAAGTCTAGACCTAATCATGATGGAGCTTGACAGGCCCAAGCAAGGTCCTAGCTAGTAGTAGTAGTAGTAGTAGTAGGGTTTGCCTTAGCTAGCTAGGCTAGACCTAGCTAACTAAAAATAAAATGACACACAGGCAGGCTGGTGTGGAGAGAAAACTAGATTGAGAATCAATATAAATATACATTCATATGAAAATCATCCTAAAGACTTACATTTATAGACAGTCACTTAAAAATTTAGAGTTAATTCAAAACTTCAACATAACGAGAAATTAAATTAGTTGCTTCTACTACGCCGTCTTCATAAAAACAGCAAAGAACCTATCTACCTGCTCCATCATTCATCAATGACCAACCGAGTCACGTCTACACACACGAAAACAACCACCCACGACACGGCTGACTGGCCATGTTTGGGAATCACGTGACCAATATTTTGTTACCGCAGCAACAAGGGGAATTTCTAGTTCACAAAAAAGGCACAGGAGGAAGCGCCGAGCCGGCCGTGGTGGCGCGATTAATCGATGACGAAATGAAGCGATATCACAAACCGCGATGAGTTTTTTCAAAAATTAGTTGTTTTATTTGGTTATTAAATACAAAATAATATATATAATGAACTAGCAGTGGAATATAATCAGTGTAGTAGCACTTTCAATACAAATTGGTAGACTGAAAGTTTAAAATATTGTAACAATTAGGTACTTTTTAGGCAGTTTACTTGGTATGGATTACACCGCTAGACAGCCTAGGCCTAGCTAGGCTAGGAGGAGGAGGGCCTAGCCAACCAGCCGTTGTTGGCGTTTTTGGTCACCTGATAACGTTGAATGTTTCAGTATTTTAACATTTTAAAAACAAATCCTGAACTTAATACTGAACCATTAACACTTTTGGCATTTAATCTTTTACCACTAGTTTAAAAAATATGTAAAATAATGAAAATAATCAACAAATTTTATTCATTTGCTTATCAATTTATATAGAAGAGACAACGTCATCGTCAGTACGGTGGCCGAGTGGTTAAGGCGTTGGACTTAAGTTCCAATGGACGTATGTCCGCATGGGTTCGAACCCCATCCGTACTAAATTTTACTGCTCGCATAAAGGAATTTGGTATGTTTTATATTATTTATATCTATCCTTTATCAAGTTTAAAACTGTTTTAAAGATTATTTTTTAATGACAAAATCAATTTATAATACAGTATTTTGTTTTATTTGAATTAGAGTAGGCCTAGCTATGAATTTTGCAGCCTACATCGTGTTTTATATTTTAAAATGTTTATTCTTTATGATGGTTATGATCTGTTGTTGTTTTATATATAACAATATTTAGTATATAATGTATATATTTCATATTTATTTCATTTATGTTGAGTTACCAGGGGAGGATCCAGGAGGTCCCGGAGGCTAGGGCCCCTCCCCCGAAAAACTGAGAAAGAGGAGAAAAAAAAAAAAAAAAAAAAAAACAGAAAAAAGTGGGAAACACGGGAAAACAAGCCAATTTTCGATTTAAATCCCTATGGTTAAGCATTTTTAAACAAAAATCTCGAACAAAACCCCTCCCCCACATTCCCCTACCCACATTTTCTCAGGATCTTTCCCTGGTTCTTTAAAATGACTCATAAAAATGATAATAGTTTATGTTTAACCACTGTACACTTATATGTTGGCCTATTTTCTTTTTGTGATCATTAGGCTAATCTTTTCTACTTGTTGGTGGTCATCATGGTCGTCTATCATGAAGCAAAGGCATTGGCCTCAGGGCAGATTTAGGAGGTAGGGCGGGCCGCCCCCCCTCCCCCTATGGGAATGTAAAAAAGAAAAAGAAAGAAAAAGAAATTGATGCGAGGTTATTTCCAGGAGTAGAAAACACAAATTCCCCTAGGGTAGTGTTGTTGCTAGATTGCCCCACACATCCAACCCTTTCAGACATCTCTAAATCCGCCTAATGAAATATTTTTTAATCATTGAGACATAGGAAATAATTTCATATAAAAGAAAGGTCAAATAATATTTAGGCATACATATTTACTTACAAAAGAAACCCCAGAAAATGAGGAAAATTAATTATCAGTGAATGCAAGAAAAACACGATAATGAAACAATCTTGTGCTGGCTCAGACTGAAAAACATAAAAGAGGATGACAGGACACGAAACAATGCGTGCATAATTAACCTTTCCGGAGTGTCCAATCAAACTTAAATGACCAATCAGAACAGCGCCGGAATATGTGCGTGTCCAACAAGCACACACGCTGTCCCACAATGTCCCTGTATGTTTTAACCATTATTAAACAAATTTTAATTCTTATTATACCTTTATCATAGAGGCATAATAAGAATTAAAATTTGTTAAATGGTTTTAATGCTGTCGTCTTGAGGGACCATAGCAGCAATATCCGAGGGGCAGGGCTAGAGAAAATGGTCCATTATGAAGCCTTAATGTAAAATTGAGCATCTTTTTCCTAAGGAGAATGTTTATTTTTTTAAAAGAGGATGGAGAGTAAGAATTAAAATTTTTAGAGTCTATAATATCATCATCATTACCATCATTCTTTATCACCACCGTTATTGTCATTTACATCCCCGTCGTCATCGTCATCATCTTCATCATCGTTGTCACCATCATTGTCACCATCATTGTTATCGTAGTTATCATTGTCCATAACCCAAGATAACCCGATCGAAGATGTCAAAAACCTTGGTCAGGTTTATTTCTTACTTATTCTTTCAGGAATTAGTTCGGGAAAACAACATAATTTCTATTGTGTTTGCTCGTAATGCAAACATCATTAGAAATATTCATTGAACGTTTCCCAGATTTTAACACATTACTTTTTTAATGGAACAAAAGGAGCAAAATCAAGCTTTGTAGACAAAGACAAATATTTTCAGACTTCCATTATACTTTACCTGATAATTCTTTTAATCAAAAATAGAAAAAAAAAAAACACCACCACCCATACAAAAAGTCATGATTGGATCCACCCATTACAGTTATGAAAAACCTTTAAAATGCTAAATTCATGAAATATTTTACAAGATTAATGAAATGTATTCTTAATGCAAATTTTTGAATGTTTATTGACACCTGAAGTTTACTAAGGTGACACCCGACTATTTAATGTCTGTCTAAAAATGTATTGCCACAACATCCGTTAAAAAAACATTTATTTCGTCCGATGGTTGATATGTCTGTCCCAGATGAAACATCCCAATACTGTACTTACTGTTTAAAACTTGTCTCTAATAAAGAAATACCCATCTATATTCATTAATAGCCTTTTTTTTGGAAAAAAATGCATTTTCCGAATAGAATATATTTCTTCTATCAGGATTCGAACCAAAAATCTTCTGACTACCTACCAAATGTGAAGACAAGCTAGTATACTGTACTGCACTCACACTTGGACTATTATGAGGTATAATAATTATATTATTATACTTCCATCTTTTGACTTCCTATTATGACAATTATTCTCACAATAACACAATACACATTCAATATGTACCTTACGTAAATCATGTTCTATATTAAATTGGAAAATTCAATAGCATATACATCATAGCTCAGTTGGTAGAGCACCTAAATGATTAGAATATTTTTGGTTCAAATCCCAATAGAGCTCTCAAAACATTACTGAGCTCTTCCCTCGATACTCTTTGGCAAAAATAAAATCTTGTAAGCTGATGCGTCCCTCAAGAACTTTGTTACCTGTCTCTTATACACATCTAGATGTGTATAAGAGACAGGTATTCCAATGAAAACTTAAGGGTTATTTTTAGTATTTTAAACAACATAGTGGAACTAATTGGCTGCCGTGGGGGGGGGGGGGGGTGTGCACCCCCACCTTCTCCCACCATGATGTTCATGTCTGTGGGTAAGATACTTACCTGGATGAATTAACCAACTAGTGCCTCATTATATTTCAGTTATAATAAATTAATATAAAACAAGAAAGGTAAAAGTATCATATGTATTTATTAAATCTTAAAAAATATTAATACTAAATTTATACTTACTGTTTTTAGTGCTGAGTAAGTTTTCTCAACATCATGCATACGATAACATAATGTCGTTGCGACATTTTGAGGGTTCTTTCTACAGTTTGAGCAAATCCCAGTCTTGGTCAGTTGTTCACACATCTCACAATTCATAGTGTTGAAATATTGAGATATTGTGCCCTGTAACAAAAATTAAATGCCAAGTCTGAAAAATATCTGTTTTGTTGAACCAATTAGTTGCTTACCTTAGCAATGGTTTCAGCAACTGCACTGATCACTTTCTTCAGGCTAATGAACCCATGATTGAATTGGGTCATTCACATTACAAAAAATAATGTGTTGCAAAGAAGTATCATGATTTTTTAATTATATTCTGATATTTTGTTGAGGGATAAAAATTATAGCAATAAATAGTGTAACATAATTTTTAACAGAAAATAAAACTCAAAAAACATTTAATAGTACTTTAAAGACTAGTTTATTTGAGAGTACACTAGCTTTCGTGCACACAGTGCACTTCTTCAGTGAATTATTTTGACAGTACACTAGCTTTCGTGCACACAGTGCACTTCTTCAGTGTTTGTGTTTGGAAGTAAGAGTTGGTTAGGCATGCCCTTTGGCCACAGTAGCCTGGTTCTCACGGGAGCCTTAGTATCCGGATCGGGAGCTAACCGTTAGCACTAACCGTTAGCACCTGCATGAGAACGCCCGATCGGTTAGTGCTAACCGTTAGCGGTATCCGGACACACGCTAACGGTTAGCAAGCGGTTTAGGTTAGCAAGTTGAGGGCGTTTCTATCATCAACCAATCACACATACGTGTTTACAATTTCCAGTTTCTTATTGGCCAGTGATTCGATCATCATATTGTTGTTATCTGGATCGGGATTTTCTCGCATGGACGCACGGCAGCTAACGGTTAGCAGGATCCGGATCCTGCTAACCGTTAGCTGCTGTGTGAGAACAGCCAGTATCTTTAAACTGTTTTTGTCTCTCCACAACTCACCCCTTTCATGTTTGTACTGCTGATGAAAGAAATAATGTAAAAATAAATAAATAAAAATATTACTATTATTTATTTATAATAATATTATTTGAAGACTGTTTGAACCTTACTTGTTTGGATTCAGTTCCGAGTGCTATTGGTGGAGCAAGCTTTACTACTTTAGGCAGTTCATTATACCATTGGTGCACATCAACGCCAAATAAGGACATTATCCTGTCCAATGGAGGAAGAATCTGCTTAGTAACATAGTAGATTGCATTCAGCCGTTGACTGGGATTTTGGATTACGTCTATTGGTGAACGTACAAGTTGGATGAGAGGTAAGCCTGGACTACCATAAACGATCACATAAGGAACTCTCTCGCCAGTTCTTGGTTCAGAACGATGATCATTTGACAACATGCGTCTGCAAAGAAGGCAGGAACAAAATTAGCAAACTAACAATAATAAAAATATGTAAATATAACAATGTGTTTATGCAAAAATATAACAGAATGCACTAGACAATTTAAAAAATCAGTTTACAGAATTCTGCCACTATAAAATATATAATGTATAGGCCTGTTTCCTCCATGATAAGCTACTTTATAGTGCTGGATTTATATTTTACAGTATTTAATGATATAATTGCAAGGAACAATATTTCGTTGTTGGTTTGGGTTAAAATAAATAAAAAGATGCAGTATTGTAGTAATTGGAACATACTTAGCTAGTTCTAGAGCTGGAACACAGGCCCCAGGACGATAGGAGCTCTTCCCTCGATACTCTTTGGCAAAAATAAAATCTTGTAAGCTGATGCGTCCCTCAAGAACTTTGTTACATTGTCGCTTCACGTAACTCTTGACCTCGGAGATGTCATGGGTGTTAAACAAAAGCTTTATAGAACGTTCAAGGATCTGCAGAAAAAGAGAGAAATAAAATGAACAGAAAGTGAAAGAAAGAAAAAGAAATGTGCAGGATTAAATGGAGAAATTAATGAAAGAAATATAGATTGTTAATGGCTTACCTTGCCAACTGCGGGGCAATTGTCTCTTCGAACGGTTTCAATGCCCTTGGCATCAAAAATTGGTTCTTTCTGGTCAAGAGTCTCGTAGCTATAGCCTACGTAACGTTTCTTAGATTGTAAAACACATGGATGGTACACCTAACAAATAAAAATGCATGTAACAAATTATTTACACATCTAATGAAATGGTGCAGCTACTAAGAAAAATTAAACCTATTTTATTTAACTGTTAATAATAGTTATTACTAACTTTTTAATTCATATGTTTGATTATAAACGTTTACTGCATTGCCACTGAAAAATAGTACTTAATATGGCAAAGCCACTCCTTAAGCCTTGTCCCGACATGCCTAAAAATATGGTCATGATGACATCACATCATGACCATATATAGGCACATCATGACTATATATGGGCATACAACGGTTCTTTGTTAAAGAAACTTTGATAGTCTGTACAGAGCTTTAGATGATGTTTACTTACTTTTTCAAATTTGAGTTTGACTGGCTTAGGATTGTCTGCTGTTACAGCATCTACCATTTCTTTCCCTATCTTAAATGCTTGCTCTTTGCTGACACCCTTAACTAAGATGAATAAGCTGCAGCATAAGAAAAAAACAGTTTGGTTTTTACATAGATTTGCTTTGTGATACTGTACATGGTTGTTGTTTGTGTCAATCTGTCTCAAACAAACAGGTTTTTATAAAATGATTCCTTAGGTAACCCTGTAGAATTAATACTCAGCATTTTTTTTATAGGGTATACTTTGTTTATTTTCATGTTCTGTATTCTTACTGCCTCTGTTAAGTGATACATGTGGGTTTTTTCAATTTGACTTCCTTGATTTTACATCTTAGACTAAATAAAGTGTTGACATACCTGTCTGTGTCACCATAGACAACCTGAGCATCCCACCTATCTGAGCTCTCCACCAGGTGAATTGCTCGCTCCAATGTTTCTCTTGCTTTGCGTACAATGCTGTCTGCAATCTGACAATGTAAAATTAAAATAACAAAGTTTTGGATAAAGTAATGCAATGGTGGAAGAGTATCTATGTTGTTAAATGTTCAGCTTTGCATGGTATGGTTTTAAATAAATAAATAAATAATAATTAAATAATAATATTATTGTGTAAAGAGAGTCATGTCAAAAGGAAGCGATTTGAATAAGCATCCAAAATTAAAAGAAAATGTAAATTTTCATACTTCTTTATAACATGTCAATAAACAGGAATTAATATTATTGGTTTATCAAATTAATTAAGAAAGATTACTTACCTCCACACAAGGCATTCTACCCGAGAAGCTAGCAGCAGTATAACCATAAGTGACATTGGCGATAAGCTTCAAACCAAGTTGACGGCTATCCAACATACGAAGAAGCACCTGTAAAAATAGTGGAATCATATGTGGAATTTCAATGGAAAGTAGAATGGCAGATTGGTATATCTGAGACAAAACCCGAGACACAAATATCAACAGCGAATGGTAAAACTAAACATTGTGGTACAAATAATGCCAGGGTTGATAACGGAACAAATTATAAACATTGTGGTACAAATAATGCCAGGGTTGATAACGGAAGAAGAAAATTAGACTAGATGTTAATTCATTCATTATTCGACCAAAGAGAATACAACACAAAGGAAAAAAATACACAAGGCAAATAGAGAACATAATAACAAACATTAGTTGGCTGGGATTAACAATTAATAGAGTTTCTAAACACTTTCGCTCACTGGCCTGTTAATATGGAACACAAAACATCAACACAGTAACTTTACCTTATTCTGTTTGTGATCTTTCATTGCTTTTTTGACCATCACTCTTGCTCCTAGGATTTCTTCAACCATTCTGTAAAGGTATAATATATAAATGAGAATAACTTTTAGAATTTACTTTTATACCTGATACATATTCATTTCTAATTTTAAAAAAATATAAAAACAAATTATGCAGCAAAGATTAGAAACACTAATTATACATTTATACTGGTAATAAGGTATATGGATACAGTTCATTTCAATTTAAATTTTTTAATGAATATCATGTAATATTAAACAAGAAAAATGGAAGACCTTGGCAATACACCCCTTCTGACATGCGACTTGACGAAAGCTATCCCATTGGGTGAAACATGGATGTCATTCTTATTAAACAACTTCCTCAGGTTCTTATGTGCAATACTATAAGTTGTACAACCAAACTTAAATTCGCCATCTCTGCATAAAAAACAATTAAAAGTTATTCAGATTGTCTATATTTAAAAAAAATAATAGCAGATTAAAAGATTTGAAATTAGTCAGCTATTACTGTATTCTCAAAAATAAAATTATAATATATTTATTTTGTGTTTTTAAATGTATTGTATTTTTATGTCAAAATCCAATAAACCAAACTAATAGTGCAATTATACACAAAGAATTTATATTATCTATATATTAGTATGTATGTACAGTACTGTATATGAAAATGTTAGAAAATGATAAATTTCTTTTTTGTTTACTCTTCAGCAATGAAACAACCGCATGGATATGAGTTATATATCTGAATAAGAAAAAGAAATAAATTGTGTCTTACTCTGATAATCCTTCTATCCTTCCTAAACATGTTGAATAACAATAGTTATAGGCCATCATCATGGATGGGTACAGCGACTGGAAATCCAAGACAATGACTGGATCTTCATAAAAACGTGACTCTGGTTCCATCACCAATGGAATGCATTCGGGAGCTTTCATTCTGAAGAGAGAGAGAATTGATGTTGAATGGAAGTGAAAAGACCTTTCTACTTATTTGTGGATTCAATTACTTTCCCTGCAACTGTTCTTAAAACACTAGTGACAAGTTTTAATTACAAGTTAATAAAGTATATTTTTATTTTATCCTCCACCTAGATGCTTTACAACAGAACTATTCTGTTGACTGAAAATATTTTTTCCCCTGCCCTGTTATGAAGTCCTTTAAGTATGAATTTCGCTAAACGATGTATAAACAAGTTACATAATAAAACAAATAGCACTTTATAAACAAGTTGACTATTTCTTCTTCATTTTGTACAGTCCACCAGAATTGGTGTATTTTGTATTTAATGAAATGCAAGGTTTTATGTGTAGCTAAGCCATTCTACATGTTTATTGTACATATGTGACCAGCCAAAAACTCAATTTTGAATTTTTCCTGCAACAGCTGGTTTTGCCAGAGCCGGTCACATATGCTACATTTATGAGCATAAACTACTGTACGTATAAAATTTGAAAATACACTATAATGATTAGATCAACCTTTTACCTGGCTCTCTGTTGAACACTTGGAGAGATAGCAATATAATTCATTGGTTTTGCCAAACGCAACATCATAGATTCTACACGATACTACAAGAGAAAAACAACAAACACTTCTATTAGTGAGGATACATGATGACAGCAAGGCATGCAGAAAACAGTTTGCGATAAAATTTGGGAAACGCCCTCAACCTTACATTAACATTTAATTACTTAATGTTTTTTCACATTAGGAACTTTATTGTGTTTATTATTATTATTATTAAATAAGTTATCAACATCCAAATTCACACAGATTCTTCTTCTTATGTCCATCCATTTGCTAGATACTTTGTTTTCAGCCAGAGCGGAACACATTTTCTAGCAGAATCATTGTACTCTGCCTGGTCCATCAGACAGCATGATGGTGATGCAAGTAGATGTTAACTTAATCATGTGTGTGGTGGTAGTAGAGGGCCGCAACGAGGAAGTTTCTACCATGACGACAGACTACAACAATTCAGATCTCGCTGATTGGCAGACTCAAAAATTCTTGTATTAGCGGCCTGCAATGCTAATTTATATAACTTTTGAATTGCAACGTTTTTTAAAAATAGTAAAATCAAAAGACTAAATAATGAACACACACTATACCTGAGAACCTCTTGATAACACGGAGTAGAATTGTATGCCAAACAGACGAGCCAACTCACTAGTTCGACCAATCAGATCTAATTGATTGAGCAGCTTCATAATGCCAAGTACTCGCGTTACATAATGCTCAATTGTCCGCCATCTGTATTAAGATTAATGCATTTAATACTAAAGTATTACAAGCCTTGCATAACATATCTGCTAAGGCCTCTACATTTCATATTATTTACAGGATTTAATCACAACAGAAAATGATCCCCCACCCTCCAACACGAATGAGTTCATCAAACACAAATGTACATCACAGCTTATATTCACCCTGCAGTTAATTTTATTAGATCATTTTTTGTTTGATTCAAATAACTATTTATACTACAGTTTTTATTAAACATTCAGTAGGCTTGTGAGATTATAATTCTGGCTTTCCATGTTTACAAAACGTGGTGCAACAATGGGTCAACAGTATAGAAAAAAAACCCATTGTGGACGGAGGTGAAATTATTATGAAAAGTTCAGTTTGGCTGGATTTACTCATTCAAAATTATTTTATTTTAGAGACAACAAAATACTAAGTTAAGAAAATTTATACCAAATATTTTGTACCTGTATAGATCAGTCTTATGATCAAACCAATCAGATAAACATCGGAATGAATACTCTGGAATTCGTTGGTGGAGCACATGAAAAGCAACATTTTCAAAGCGATAGTTTGTCAATGCAACCTGTAAAAAATTCAATATAATAATATTTAAAATTATAATAACAACAACAACTGGACTTATTACGTCTGATTGTAAAACAAAATATAGGGTTTTCCTCATTAGCATGAGAACTGATGTTTAATGTTCCAAAAGCTTATTTTCAAGCTTTTTTTTCTCTCATAATATTTTAGTTGCTTTTGCTAAAACACATTACAGAAATAATAAGAGAATTTAACAAGAATAAAATCAAAGCACCCAGTCAGTTATGCTGCTAATCTTAGTAAAGGTTCCCACTTGTTAGGATGAATGTAATAATATATTGTTATTTCAAGTTTTAATTAGTAAAATTGATAACAGAATCAAAATCAAAATGTATGAAATGATAGATTGAACGTTAGAATCAGACCTCAGTCAATCGTGCTAGCAACACAGCAAGTTTAAAATAAATAATTAAAAAATAAATAAATTAAAATTAACAAATAAAATTAATAAATAAAATTTAAAAAGAAAAGTCACACATCCAAACTTGTGTGCACTTGTGGTAAAATTGATTTCAGTTAGATGGACACGAGCCTTCAGTATTGAAGTTTGTCCATTAATCGAAGAAGTTTTTAGGGGGAATTATATAAGTTTACATTGTTATTAAAAAAGTGTCAATGCAAGTAAAACAAATGCAGAAATGTACAGAAACTTCAAACTTTAAGACAAAAACATAATGATGATTTTAATACTTTACCTCATGTCGCAAAAGCCGCCACAGGTTGAGAACTACTCTTCCCACAATGTTGATATCGGAGACATAAAATGAATGCCATTCATCCTTATGTCCTGAGAATTTGCTTTGTTTTGCAATAACATCTATCAAAAAGATAAAAATATTATAAACATTATTTGTCTTCACTTTGAAATACTGACATGTAGGCGTTTAGCCAGGAAAAAAAATAAAGGGAGTCTAAATATTTGGTGCTAAGCAGCAGTTTAAGGGTGTGGCCCCAAGATAAAAAGAAAAGGATACCATGCCACATATAAAAAAAAAACAGTCATTCTTATATCTATTTTATAGATCCCCATTTGATTTACAAAATGATAAATTTCTTTTGAAATTATCCACAGCAGCTAGTGCAGTAAAGGCAGAAAGTACAAGCAGCGTGGTCAAATGATATGATGTAGACAGGAGTTCCTCCAATAAATATAAATACAAAAACTTAGGACTTTTTGATGTATAATCCAAAATTTTTAACAGGACATGGCCAAGGACATGCAAGATGTCTTGCTAAAGCGGCCGTCATAAATCATTCTTGGCCGTCCAAAAGATGGCTGGACAACTCACTGGTTAAGCCCTTGTTGACATGATATATTTCAGATTTTATGGGTGACAGAATATTTTTAAATTAAAATACCTTGAGATAAACTAATTATTGTATAAGGTGATAATATAATTAATGTTAATTAAATTAAAATGTTAAATGTGAGACATTTTACAAGCTCATTGGAGTTTCATGAATGTCCTTTTCATTTTCTATTCTATTTTTAACATTTAAAATTTGTATTAAATTGACATTGATATGATGATGATTATCCATTTATAATAATAATAATGTCATCTTATTAGGCGCACGTATCCATCTCTTGGTAGAGCTGCTCGCGGCACCGTTTTCCACCTTAATTTTAATTATTTATTTATTTATTTTTATAACATAAACAGTCATGGTTATATACTATACCTGGTATCCTTGACAACTGTGAATATAGATTAATTTCAAGAAATTCTGCTCTTTGAAGAAGATATCCCCAAGACAACATCTGGATCTCATATCCAACAAAAAAGTCAGGATCATATCTGAAAAAATATAAGTATGGTTTAATGCTTATAGTCACAGCCATCAGTAATGATTAAAACATATATCCACTACCACTATTAAGTGAGGTTTAACACTTATCTTCACTACTATCATTAATTTCTAAAACTTATGTTAAATTTGCTTTCCACCTGCCACAGCAGAGAACTCTGTCAAGATTCCTTAAAAACCACTAAAGTTCCCACCTTTTTATCAGGCAGGTTTCATGTTAAGTTTTCTGAGTGCAAGCAAAAATATATAGACACCAATTTATTATTATTATCATCATTTGTTGAACAGAAGGGCTATGTATTGTTAGTACATCTTTACCTATTTACGACTTTGACAAGTTCTTCAAACATTGCTTGTTCTGAAGCAACAACGTTCTCCTCCAGTTTTCCAATGCCAGCTCTTGCTAGGAATGACCTCTTCCCAAGGCTAGTACTCTGTATGCTACCATCAGCTGCAGAGTTTGGGTCAAGGGTTATAACCCCTGTCAATTTCTCTGAAGGGTCACTGTCAGATTGAATGCAATAAAATATTGCAAAGATAGCATCAGCCTCTGGATCTGGACGATAGTTCAGACGGCATCTACAATGAATTTCCAAACTCATAACAGTGATATGCTGTACCTAAAAGAAAGATAAAACCAATTGTATTAAACTATGGTACTTGCAGATCAACTTTTTATTTCTTTTTTTGATTTCATTTTGAAATGGACATACCTCATGAACAGCCTTGGCATCTTGCAAGTTATGTTGGCTCATTTTAAATCCATAAGTATTGTTTGGCGTAGGTCCCTCAATTATCGACAAATCTGAAGCTTTTCTAGTAACCGGTGTAGCAAAAGTCTCCTATAATTCAGAAATAATGGTTATAGTGAAGAGATATAAAGTGCAAATCACCATTATATTTACATATAGAAAACACAAATAAGTACATTAAATGAAAAGATAGAAGTAATAGACATTTTTATAGAGGGGCAACTCTTCCTGCTTATTCTAGAAAATCAGCTGATATTTAGGTCCCTTAGTCTAAAATAAATGAAATGAATAATGTAATGCTTTATAAACTAAGTCTCATTACAAGGTTTAGGGAGTAGAGTTATTCTTTAGTTTTGAAAAAAAAAATGATTGACAGTTGCTTGACTCCAAGCTAAATTGTCACCAGCTGGCATTCAAAATAAATTATAATAAAAAAAATTACAAAATTTTCAGGATGTGATCTTTGTATAATATATACACATACCAAATTTTGTCTATTAAGTTGTGGTTTTTGCTGCTCTGTCTTGTCTTGTCTCTTTGAAGCTTCCGTCCTCTCAGCGATAGGTGTAAGTTGCGTTATGTGTGGTGGCGTACTGATCTCTCTTAGTGGTGTGCTGTGTTGCGGTTGACTTGACTGAAGTAATGCAAAGCTTGTCTTTGACTTCTTTGACACTGGAGTGCAAACATTTGAATCATTAAAATGACCAAATTCTGGTTGACTAGATAATGGTAAAGATCCATGAGTCTCATCAATTCCTTTTTCAACCACTTTCATATCTTCTTTGTCTACATTTTTTACCACACTAATGGTTTCATCAAAATCCTCATTTGTTTCTGTCTCATCTAATTTCCTTCGTTTATTCTGCCTGTACAATTCTTTTCCCGTCATCCATTTCATGACCTCTGACCTTGATGGTGGCATTTTGCAAGGAGTAATTGCTGTAACTTTGTTGCCAAGTGTAAGAGCTCTCAATTCTGGTCGATTCTCAATTTCGTTGATCAACTGGAAACTACTGTTAACATCCTGGCTTCCAGAGGGCAAGTTTGAAAATGCTAGCAATCTTCTCCAATGCTGAATCCCATTTGTTGATAAAATGCTGTCAAATTTTGGAAACTCTGATGGAATAAGAGACTTAATTCTGTTGTGATGCACAGGTTGATTACTGTAAAAAGAAATATTTGTAACAAATTGCATTAAAGGTTGATTACTGTAAAAAGAAAATATTTGTAGCAAATTGCATTAATCAGTGCTTAATCGTTTGTAATTTAATATATACACTGTATCCCTAAGTAAACGTAAAAGCTTTGGACGAAACTATTATCATGGGATGCTTACTTAGTACATTTTTATAAGCTTTAAATTTCAAGTTAAATAAAATAAAATATTTTCTTTGCCTGGATAAGTAAGTATTTAACCCAAAATATTTTCTTTGCATGGATAAATAAGTATTTAACATTTAATTCCAGTAACCACTCCCTTTCGAAGTGGTTACTGGAATTAAATGTTTTATTCATTGATTTTTTTAATGTTTTTTTTTATATCTTATGACAGAGAGTTAGAGTTCAACTGCTTCTACAGTATTCATGCATTTAATTTTTGAAAAAACTCAGTTATTTGTTGTGTTTTCCTTAATGTTTTACACTTTGATATGAAGTGTCTTTTCTTTTAACTGTCACTTTCATACTGCTTATGAGGAATGAATGAATTTCTTGTGTTCGCTTGAAGCACCTTAGAGCTAATTTAATTTAATTCGTGCTTTAAAAAAACAGCAGTACAGGCACTTTAAATAATGTGAAAATTACCTTGATTTATCTGGCAGGTCAGCTGGATTGCGACAATAGGCTTCTTGATGGTAAAATTCTTTCAGCCCATATTTGGCAAGCGATTCAACAACTGCTGTCCTAGATGGTGGTGTCTGTTGTGGCTGCCAAACTTTCAATCTCTCAGTTACTGATGATAAAGGCTGTCCATCATTAGGTTGACTGTCTGAGGGTTTATCCTGAGAAATTGGGCTCTGAGGGGATTGCTTGGGTTCATGGTCTTCTTTCTGAGATGCTGCTCTTTCTTCTTTCTTGGGTGTTCCTTGATCAGATTTATCAGAACGAGTTTCATTAGTCCCAGCAATCTTTGTGCAAGATTTTAGTGGAGAACAGAATGACATCATAGAAATATCTTCTAATGATGCATCAGTACATTGAAAGTGTCTTTTCCTCGGCTGTGATACTGGTAAAATTTTATCATCGACTATATCTTGGTTTGATATATTTTGGTCAGCTACATCCACTCTTTCTTCATGGGAGTGTTGTTGACTTAATTTTAAAGGTTCTGTGTCCGAGATTGACACTGATGTCCGATTTGAATCTGGTGTGTCCGGAATGGCTATCTCTGAAAATGAATTTTGACTTGAAAATCCAGAGGAGTCAGGTGTGTTTGGGACACTGTAAATGGGGAAACTTTGGTCATTTCTATCAGATGTCTTTAGAATTGGTGGAGACAATGACATATCCAGGATCGACTCATCTTCTATCTTTGAGGATTTTGATTGTTCAGAATCAAGATCATTATCATGATTGATATCTGTTAGACTTTCTTGATCCTCATTTGTTTCAAACTTCATATTGTGATACACATCTTCTTCATTTCCTTCTGATGTAGATTTCATGATCTTTGGCAGGGTTGCTTTAGGTGTGGAAATACTTTCATCATCAATATCATCAGCTGGTTCCCTATACATTAAAATATGTTGTTTATCTATCATTTCACTCTTTTGTTTATTTGTACATCTCCTCTCTCCATGGATGGAGGATGATGATAATTTTAATTCTTTACTTGTTTTATCAAGCTCCATTTGCTCTTCTCTTACAGTACTCACATTAACACATTTAGAATTTGTTTCTGATGGATTACTTTTAACTTGAACAGAATTTCTCAAAGTATCAACCACATCCTGACTTCCAGTATTTGGTATATCTAATGATCCTTGCCATGGAATCACTGGTGAACTTCTGCCAATATTCTCAACTTTTTTAGTATTGCAACTTACTGACAGAGGCTCCTTTATGTGAGCATTAAAAGACTTAGACAAATGATCTTGAACTTCACTCCTAGTCCCTCCTACTATGTTATAATTTGCTTTTGAAATTTGTTGTAAGGAACTCTGTACGTTTTCATCACTTGGAATCAAACTCGAATTACTCATTGTATCTGTTGATTTATGTGATGGCAAACATGGTGAAGAAGTTAGTTTGGGAGTAATTTCAGGTAAATATTGTTGCACCTCTATACCCCCTTTACCCAGAAAGTCCAAAACTTCAGTTTTTGGTAAAGAAATAACAGCTGTTTTGTTTTGCTTTGTTTCTTGGCATGGAATTGGAATAATTGGGGACTTTCCACCTGTCATAGAAAGTTTGTTCTTGCCAGTGTTCACACTTGCACTGTCAATCAGTAATCCTGGAGAATCCTGTAAATGAGATGTTTCATCATTACTGCCACTACATGTTGAATACAATGAATCTGACAAGTATTCAGAATTTTCCAAACCATTTCCAGACTTCATACTTTTAGATTGCTCACTATAATCTGATGTATTTGTACCAATGTTATTCTTATTAATTTGGACAATATCTGTATTACATTGAGTAGCTGATGTATGTCCATTGGTAGTTGATCTTTGACTCAACATTGACATTTGAGAATCAAATGAATGAGCCTCCATTACATTTTCATTACTAATTTTGTCATTAGTATGCTCAGATGACCTTGTTCCAGTATCCTTTTTAATATCAAGTTCTGAGGTTAACATGACAGGTTCTTCAGAATATGTGACTTCCTGCGATAATGCCATTTCTATTTCTTCATTCTGTGCTCTAATAGCTTCTCGAAATAAGTCCAAAAATGATGTTGATTCACACTCTCCCTCTTCATTGGAATTCACTTTATTGTTGTTGGTACTACACAGAAGATTTTTCAGAATGGGCATACCAGACATTTCAGATGAACTGGGTGATGTTTCACACGGAAATGTATTAATTTTAGAATCATTGATAAGATTGTTCTTTGGTAAGGTTTCTATTGTCTCCATTGAATCATGAAGTAATGTTGAATTAACTTGATCAATCTGACTTTGATTTTTCTCTGTCTTCCTTCGCTTTTTCTCTGGCATTTGTGAGTTATCTTCTGATGTTTGTATCAAACGTTTTCTCCTTACTCTTCTTGCTTTTTTGGGTTTTTTATCAACTGGCTGTTTACAAGAAATGTCTGTCAACATGTTGCTTTTTGATATATCAACTGGAGTAACAGGCATGTTGTTCTGCAACCCCATTATCCTCTGATTATACACTTGGTTGCAACTAACACTGCAAGATTGAGGACTCTGAATTGTACTAGAATTTGATGAAGTCTGAAAATCACCAATTGCAATGTTCAAATTTGTAATAAGATTAGGATTCCAAGACCTACTTGGAGTCCAGATTTTGCCAAATTGTGAATTGTAAGCTTCCAAAGTCGTCCCTGCTGCATTGCCTTTATAAGGCCTTTGAATGTGATGTTGATGACTTTGGCTTTCAATTGGACTCCAGTTAATCATTGGTACATTGCATCTAGCTGATGGTTTAGTAAATTGATGATGCACAGGTTCCTTTGTGCTATGTATACATTGCTGGTTACTTGGACTACAGTTTGAATGGTAAACGTGAGGGCTAGATGGATCTGGATTTATTAATGAAGTACCAATTGGACTACTGATTTTTGAGGAGCCATATCTTCTCACGGATGAATGCTTTTGCTGACAGTATGGTTGATTTGGCTGGCAAGGATGTTTAGGTGGTATGACTGTAGATATAGGTGGTTGTAAGTTGGAAGATGGAGGTTTTGCACTCAAATTCTGATGAAATTTATCTTGAGGTTTGTCAAAGAGTTTACCTTGAGGTCTAACAATAGCAACATCCTTCTGGTTTTCTGTTTGTGTACCAGTCAAATGGACTTGTTGATTGACCTTTGGTATGACAACAGTAGGAACTTGGTTGTCTCTCGGTGTACCAGAAGTACCAACTTGTTGGTTGTCCTTTAGTTTATCAATAGAACAGACTTGCTGTTTGTGCTTTTGTGTACTAACTGAGCAGACTACTTGATTGTCCTTTAGCGTACCAACAGTACAGCTTTGTTGGTTATTCTTTGGTGTAGCAACAGAGCTGACCTGTTGATTGTCCTTTGGTGTATCAACAGAGCAGACCTGTTGGTTGTCCTTTGGTGTACCAACAGACCAGACCTGTTGGTTGTCCTTTGGTGTACCAACAGAGCAGACCTGTTGGTTGTCCTTTGGCGTACCAATAGAGCAGACCTGTTGGTTGTCCTTTGGTGTACCAACAGAGCAGATTAGTTGGTTGTCGTCTGGTGTACCAACAGAGCAGACTTGCTGTTTGTCTTTTGGTGATCCAACAGAAGAAACCTGTTGGTTGCACCTTAGTGTACCCACAGAGTAGGATTTTTGGTTATCACTTGGTGTACCCACAGAGCACACTTGTTGGTTGTCCTTGTTCTTTTGTTTTTTAGGTGAGCTGATCGATTTCCTGTCCTTATTCATAGGTTTAAAAGCAGACTGGGTAGTATCAGTTATGACGTCTTCTAAGGATTGTTCATTATCTTGTGCTGCTAAATTAACATTATTTCCAGATGTCAGTTCCACAGTGTTTCCACATTGTGCATTCTGAGCACAGTGATTCCTATGACTAACATCACAAGAAGTATTTGATGGTGTATTTATCTGGTGAGTGTTGTCTAATGAATCAGCCACAATGGCACCCAAAGAGGACAGCACTTGATTTTTACTGGAAAGGTTTTTGTCCTCCTTGATTTGTTGGCTAAGATCATTCTTGTTTGATGTATTGACACCTTCACTTAATATTACTGTATTCACATCTGGGACATCAAAGCTAAATGTTGGCGACCAGCATTTTGGTGGACTGGAGCACCGAGACTCAGGAACTGGAGAATAATATGCAAGAGACCTCAAAACATCTTCATACAGAGAATCGCAGTCTGTATTGTCAGTATCAAACATTTGTTCAGGTAATTTCTTTACCTTAATTTCACCAGTGGAAAATTGTCTTGAAAGTTTGGATGGCTTTTGTCTGCTTTTAAATTGCGATTTGTCATTATTTGTTCCAGAAAATGTAGAGTTAATGTCTTGAACAATAAGGTTTCCATCCCGTTTCATTAATTTTATTCCTACTCTTGGATTTGAATGATTACTAACATCTGAACTTTTCAAACTTGTCAATCGAGATCCAGAATCTTCAGACTCATTCCTAATCTTTAGATGATTCTTATGCTGTGAATCATTACTAGCATCTTTTCTGTTATTCAAGTCACACTGCAAAATTTCAAGTCCATGCTTGGTTTCATTTTTCAAGGAAGAGATGACATCTTTAACTGGCTGGTCATTGTCAAGAAATACAAGGGATGCTTTCACTCTACTTTTCTTATATGCAAGAAGCTTTTTATTAGATTTCTTTGGATGGTTTGTATTGGATTCTGAGGTAGAGTTTTTGTTTTCATTCTGCAGACTACCCAACTGGATTGCCTTAATTTGACTCAGTTGCTTTTGCACTTGTTTCATAAACTTCTTGGTCAGTATTATAGTTTGTTTATCTGCACTAACTTTGTTGATTAATACTTTAAGTGTTCGACATCCTTTAAATGGGTTGTCATCCAGTAATAATTTACTAGCTACACTTGTTTTCTTCTTCTCTTTAGTTTTAAAATCATCTTCATCATCAAAAGATTTTCCCACCATAAAGTCTTCAACCAATTCCCTGAATTTCCCATTGGCTTTACAGGGAAGTGTTCGGCTTTTCCAAGTTCTATTAACATTTCTGCTTTTTCTTTTGCAATTTGGATTTGTTTTATTTGTTCTATTCCTCTTGAAGGCACATCTCTCTTGCTGGAAATCCTCATCACTTATACTAACATAATGCATAGAATCTAAATTTTCCATTTTTGTAAGCTTAACTGGAAAGCATTTGTTATTAACAACATCTTTAACAGTTTCATTGGCATACATACATGTCTTTGTCTCAGGACAGGGTTTATCTTTACTGTTTATTGTCGCAGTAAGAGACATTTCTGAGGTATCTTTATATACTTGCTTCATTACAGTGGGTGCTTTCATACTATTGAATACCTGAGTGTCAATTGTTGTGTAGATTTTATCAGTTTTTGATTCAGATTTCTTTTGTGCCATTCTATAACAAATAGTGTTATCCCAAGATATACCTTTAATTTCTCCTCCAGTAGAATCTTTAGAATAAACTACTTCTGGAATGGCACAGTTTATTGGGAGGGTAGTATCACTCTTTGGTAATCCTTGTGGATTATTCTTATACTGTTCTTTACATCTCACAACTGCTGAATCCTTTACACACCAAGAATCCTCTCCAAGCCCTGAATCTTTAAGCTGCATTTTCTGATGTGATAGATCCTCATCAGAGGCATCTTTTATGGTCAGTGCATCAACTGTTTTCACATCTGTTTTAAATTTCTTCATTTCCGTAAATACTCTCTCAGTATGTTCATTTTCTAATTGTTTATTGTTAATCTGAGTTGCCTCTTGCATAGGTTGAACCCCTTCTTTCATTTCAACTTCTTTAAGCCTATTTGGATCTGCCTCTTGAATAGATGAAATTTCTTTCATGTTTACATTGTCCAGTCGATAAATTCTGTTTTCTAGTTGCATTTCCATACTAATCCCTCTTGCTTTCATCTTGCAAATCTTTGGTCCCTGTTTTGCTACCTTTGGTTTTTCTGTCTGTATGTTACGACGTCGAGCACCTAAAGTTTTTGGCTTCTTGGCAATGTACTGCATGGCTACTAAAAATATAAAATTTAAAATAAAATGAAGATCTTGTAATTTACAATCATAAGTCATGCAATTTACAATTTAGAATACAATTGAACAGATGGTACCAAATATATACAGAGACTTTAGGAATGATATTGCATAAATTTTTTTCTGTTTTAATTTTCAGTCGACAGCTAAAAACTTATCACACCATACATTGTAATTTTATATTTAAAGACATATTCTTGTGGTTGATAAGATCAAATAATTTATCAATGTACAATAAATGAAGTTCAGGTGTTGCTAATTTACAGAATGTTCACTATAAAAATTCTTCAACTGGAAAAAAATATTTTTCATCATCATATCCAACGTATGCAATTCAAACATTGAATGATATTTTTTCATATGTAATTTTTGCTATTAGAAATGCCAATACCATCAGTTCTAACACCAGAGCAAGTAGAACAGACAAAAATATATTTATATATACACCTTCTTTTTCATCTGAACCTCCATCAACTTGTGGAAAATTACCACCAGGCTTCTCTTCATTCAAATCAAAGGAATCATTCAACCATGACAGATGAATATCCATCTCATCTGGGCTGGTCTTACCACTATTTCTACCAAGTAAAATAGTATTCAATTTGTTGAAAATACTTCATTTATTTATAAAACTTACAAGAAACCCTAATAGTTATATGCATGATAATAGAACTATAAGTCATATATTATGTTAACAATGAGATATAATATTTGTAATATTACAATAATAATAATATACTTATACTTTATTTATAATTAAATATCTGTCAAAAGAATTGAAAACCAATGGTTCATATTCACTTTAATATTTTGCTTTCAATAAGAGTGAGCAGACACTTAACCAGGATTCCCTATAGCGTTACTTATAACCACCTGTGGAGCAGATGGTGTGGGGTCTAGGGAAAGAGTTCAAGTTGGGTCAGGGAGTGAAGCATTCTAATATGTAAATGGTGAATTCATCATCACTTTGATGGTATTTTATGCAGTGGGAAGTAGTGGTTTGGATTACCAGAGGGCTTACTAAAAAAGCAGGTTCAGCTGAACCACAAAAATCTTTCATGGATGTGGGCCTTATAAGCTTGTAATAAACATTTACCTCAAGCTTGACTGGTAACATATCTCAATGCAAATTGTGCAATACTTACTGAGTGGACATCTCAGCAACATCTTCTATATCCTCATCCCAAGCTTGGGTCATCATTAGCATATCTTCATCCTCCTCCTCTTCAATATCTTTTTGGCTGATTACATTCTCATCTTCCTTTGTTTTTCTCTGGCTTAATCCTGATAAGATGCTATCATCTTCCGGGGAGTTATCCTCAGCTAACTCAGCTAATAATGCAATTAATTGCTTATCTTGAGTCGCACCTTTGCCACAGAAATGTAATGACAATAACAGAAGTTTAATTATAATCATATACTGTATAACATTTCATACCATATTACTGGAAACATAAAATAATTTGGATGAATAATTTGTTATATAAAACATTACAGCATGAACACAGCACTATATGAAAGCTTATTAATTATTCAAAAATACAAATAATGCTGAACAGTATTATAGCAATACAATAAGAAATAATCAACAGAATAATTCAAATATTGAAAAGACTAATATTCAGATCGTTGATTTCATGATAAAAAAAACTGCATGTGCAAAAACATTGTTATTTCATGGAGAAAAAATATGAAAGTTAATTATATTGTATGCTGAGGGGATGATTTCATTATATTTTAGGGATGTTCCTTGCAATTGTTTGACTCATTTCATCCAAGTATCAAAGTAAAATAGACAGTTGTTAACCACATACAGTAAGTAATAACAAACAACAACAGTGATATACTTGAATATTTAAACAAATGAGGGGAAAAAATAGAATTCTACCTAAGGCTTGGGACATACTAAAGCTTTGGCTGGCTGATACAACAGATAGGACAGCTTCTTCATCAATGCATGGTTCCACCTCTTGCATGGATATAGAATCTATATCAAAATAAAATAAACATGCTAGAGTTACACAACATTTTAGTTATCTGATATAATTGATAAACCACTGGTGAAATGTAGTTATAGGAATATATAATCACAAATGGTAAAACCAACCTTGTGATTGATTTGGCGATTTTATAAAGCTTGCATCTGATTGGCTGAGGTGTAGCGTGTCCTGGGATGAACTGTTATCATCTTCACTGTCTATCTGACTTTTCCTGAATAAAATAATATAAATTATTTATCATTCAAAGAAATATTTTCATTGGCCTCAAGCTATATTGATTCTTAAACTGAATAGAAACTGTGGATAGTTAATATCGAAACTCACAGCAATGCACACTGTTGTTGGATGATTGTATCTAGCCTGGCAAGATGTTGCCTTTCACTTTCAGTTGGCGGAACAAACCCACGTTCTGTAATAGAAGCCAATACAATATCAATTTCTAGAGCTTTGTACACACTAGTTTATTTCAAAAAGATATGTCTCTGATACTGGTATATGCGCACCTAATTAATGGGCATGATAATGCCATATCTCACCAATATGAGCATGATGATGTCATATCACACCCATATATAGGCATGATGATGTCATATCACACACATATCTGGCATGATGTCATATCACATCCATATATGGGCATGATGTCATATCAAAATATGGGCATGATTTCATCACTATCATATATATGAGCAAATCACAGATATTTGTCACAAACAACTTGATAGTGCCAACACAGCTTAAATGACAAATATTGATTTATACACATCCAAGAAGATTGATATGCAACATTTTAAATATAATGTGCTTAATCTCAGGTTTGTTGAAATCTATTTGAGCTGAGTGGGAACTGTACCTGGTGATGAGGGAGGTAACAATTGTGAAAGCTGATTCAATTCTTTCCGTCGCTGCTTCTCGTCTTCCCATATTGCCATTAGGCCAGGATTTTTACCAACATTTTCTAAGATGCAAAAAGTAATAAATAAACATGGTAGGTATTACTTATTATATAATCTTATGGGTTTTTTCTAACGCCTTGGGTCTTAAATGGGAGTTTTGTGTCGACTGTGGATCATCATGCTATAAGAAAGCATCTCTCTGACAGTTAACTTTATTATTGCTATATTAATAACTGCTTCTGATTTCTCTTTTCATTCCCCGTACATTCAATCTTGTCCTTTTTTTGCTTATCTCCTCAATATGTGCCTTAAGCACATTGGTGGAAATGCCCCAACAGAAATATCCTGCATTATTTTAAGAGATGGTTTTATGGGTGTTAGCTGTTAGCTAATGATCCTTTGTGTTTTGAGACACGGTTGATCCATCTTTGATTGTGACCATAATTGCATACTTAAACAAAAAGTATGTTAATTTTCAATTGCAAATAACGAAATCATATAAATTGACTACTTGTGTTGTAATTCTTATTGTGATTGTTATTATCAACTTACTCTCAATCTGTAATCTATTTAAAATATCAACAGCTACGCAGTCAATCTCCAATTCGCACATGCTTTGTCTGGCGACATCCACCAATTCTGGACTACAATATAAATACCATGTATACTTTTACAAATAATAAATATATAATATTACATATATATTAGTTATATATACTTAAGTACAACTGTTAAGGCTACTACAATGAGAATGCTTAGTGCTTGGTTTTAAAAATAAGATATTGTGAACACTTTTAATGCATAAAAACAAAAAAAAGTATTAAAGCCACATATAAACAAATGATATATTGTAATTTTTTGGTTTTTGTTTTGTTTGTAAACATTATGTATAACTCCCTTTTTAATCCATTTCTTAAAACATTAATATATTTTTATTTAATATTTTATGTACTACTAGCTAACATTATTGTTCATAACCACAGAGTATGAACAGTCAATATTTATTGAAAATATACAAACATGCAACAATTGATTGCTTAACAAAAGAGTATTTATCATTATAATAACCAATTAAAGCTGTCACCTTTGTACTTCACTTGTATTACCATACTCCGTTGAAGGGACATTACTATGGAAACTGCCATAGCCAGTACTTGATGCATCTTTAATTGCAAGTGTAGATTTTGCCTGGTTTTCTACAAGATACAAAAATACAAATTCAAATAATAATTTCTAGAGAATACTGTATTTTAAGAGCTTTTCTTAATTTTGTTCATAAACTACTGTAGAAACTCAAAAGATTGCAGAATGTTCATTATTTATTATGCATATATAAATGCTTCATTAATTATATATCATTACTAAACTTGAATATGTATTTGGCTTACCATCATCACTGGAACGTCTAAACTTGAAAGCACTAAGGTTTATTAGGTCCATACCAGAAAGATTATAGTCAATAAAAAACTGTAATTAAATTCCCAAAATGGGTACATCATAAAAAAAAATCAAACAACATAATAGAAATGTAGTAATAAACATTATTAAAAAAACTTTGTTTTTGATAATTTATATTGGAAATTATTCATTTATGAATCTATATTTATCCATAAAAAATTGGGAAAGGAAATATTCTTTAATTGAAAGCTTATAATTTCACAAAATACTAAATTATTAAATATTTATTAATAATAATGTAGTCATTTATGTAGTATTTTTACAGTACCTTAATACTTTAGTTAGCTAACCATGAATAGTATCAGATAATTAATAAAACATTAAAACACCAAAATATGTAGGAGATAATAAACATTAAATTATCATTATTAGAGAGGTTATATGATGTTACAAGTTCAGTAATTATTACCTGAAGGAGAAATGGAATATGCGCCTCGTGGGGCTGATGTACCTTGTTCATTACAGCGCCCCCATGCAACAGATCAACGGCTCTAGTAGAAAAAAAAATGGATTACAGCATGTTAGTACAGTAATTTTAACAGAACAACAATGTTACTTTTATTATGTTATATTTTTATAATTTTAATCCACCAACAAGTGGCTTGCCCCATACAGGATGGATGCAATATACCCTTAGCAAAGTATCTTGAGGCTTGAGCAGTTTTTTTATTTTTACTTGTAAAAAAAACCTTGGAGTTGCAGGACTTCAACCAAGGACCTGGGAAAGTACTGTAAGCATCTTAACCACTAAGCTACAGGCCCGGGATTTATCAATCTCAGCTTAGCAAATGTATTACGTCAAAAAAATAAGATGTCCCTAAGTAAATAACTTAAGATGATTTATCAAACCATCTTAGCAAAATCTTAGGGTAAAAGTCGTCTAAGATAGCACATGCATACAATCGTAATTTTAAGCAATTTTAAAGCTAAGTCATATTGATAAATTGGACTTAAGCAGAAAAATGGACTTAAGGTATATTCTATAAAATTCTTTCGAATTTCATTTATGTTAACCTAGAAATAATACTACACTTGAAGCTAAATAAAGTTACAGTATTTGATCACTTCTATAATATTTACACAATTGTTTTTATTGTTATACACATATATATTGTAGTTCCATGCTTGCACTTTATAGGTAATTACAGGTGTAAATGGCTTGTTTTTTAATGACCTTGGATAATACAATAGATTCTACAGTATAGCTTATATTTCTGTAATGGTTTAAAATTAATTCACTATTTGATACATACTGTACCTACAATAGTTTGATATGCATATGTATTGACTTAGGTGTGGAATATATCTATATAAAACAACAGCAACATTTAATAAAACAAATAATTTTACTAACAACTTACTTTTTTACCATAATAGGATTACAAAAATATATTTTCATAAATTGCTTCTCCTCTTCATAGTAACCATAAAAAGGACTGAAAATGAATTAACAATAAGGAATATTTAATTAAAATTGTCATTTAGATAAAAGGCACTTTCTAGGTCAATATGCACATCACAGTATGGCTAACTTAAAAATCAGGTTCTTAAACAAAATAATGAGAACAGCCAAAAAAAAAAGAAAAATGAAAATTTAATAAACTAATTCAGAAACAAAATATAGAATTTATGAATGAAAAAAATCACAGAAACTTTAACACAAATAATTATTTTTATTAAACAACAAAATTAAATAAAGGTACTAGACCTATATCAACATTTCTATATTACAGTATTCTAAATCTTAATACCAATACTATAAATTAAAAGAGTTAAAATAAGCCTACTGTACATTAGTAATTTAATTCAATGTCATTATTCACATATTCATATATACAGTAATGCACAATAATAAATTAGGAAACAGTCTTGTAATAAATGTATGCATTAATAAAAACCAAAACTATTTAGTTATGTTTACATGAAAACCAGTGTTATAGTAATCCTATTGAGTATCTCTGGAATGCATATTGAGTGAGGATAATTTATGCAGACAAAAGAATTTTTAGAAATGTTTGAATTGTAGTTTAAAAGGTCAAAGTCTACCAGAAAAGTAGCTACCAGATCTAGATGCAGGAAAAGAGTGATAGTACAGAGGTGTTGACAGGACCTAAGCCAGCAATTAGGCAATGGGGGTTATGGAACTGTAGTAATTACAAAAGACCAACAAGGGATTGTAGGGAGGTTAAGCCTGGTTTCCTGTCGACGTAAAAGTCAGAATTTCTTACGATTCTTACGACTGTTACAAGAAGTTGGGCAAAATCTGACGCGTCTTGATCGTGTTGGGCCGCTGACAAAATAAGCCGGTAACGATTCTTACGCCAAGTTGACTTTTCAAACCTCAATCTGAAATTCCTGCGCTAACGTTGTTACACGCTCCTAGCGTCAAGTTAAATATTGTCCTTGTGATTGTGATCATCTGTTGTGATGCCTGGTTTGCTCATTAAAAAATAACCCGAGAAATAAACAATAAGTTAATCCAGTGAAATATACTTCTAATCATTAGAAAATGCTTATAAGATAAGTAAATGCGATATAATTATAAGTTAAGAATTAAATTATTCAATCCTTCCTAAAAATGGAATTCAGTGCTTAAAAATCTCATTCGGGACCATTCTGTCATGTTGGCCTATTGCATACTGATTGGACAAACATTTATTGTATTCTTTATTTTGAAGCGACACTTTTGCAACAGTGGCACAGTATGTAAATAATGGTGCGTCCAAGAAAAAAAGAAAAAAAAAAAAAATCACAATCTGAAGAGATTAACAAAAAGTGCAAATAAATGTCTTAATTACCCCTGCCTAACTTAATTAAACATTTTAAAAATACAAATGCCAAAGTTCAACTTTTTAATGAGTAAACAGTTCAAAAAGAATTATAAGGCCTAGCCTAGTCGGTTTCCCGTCGAGCATGGCGTTACAACGATTTTGCTTTGTGTTACGTCGATTTCACAACGCATCAGTCACAATCGGTTTCCTGTCAAATCGTATTTTGTTACGACAAAACGACGTAGTCGTAAGCAAATCTGCCTTCTTATGTCAACAGGAAACCAGGCTTTATTGTGTACATGTAGGAAAGGTGATACTGTAGTACCTGTAGCTAAAACAATGTTTTAGTTTCAATAACTTTCAGTTTTTATTGTTGATTACTTCTTATGATCATGCGAAAATGGAAACTGTGATGGAAAGCATAGGGAAAAACAACTACTTTAAATAAAATAAAATAAGATGATTTATTCATTTTCTTTTTTATTTGTTTTGTAATTCAATTAGCCTATTTGAACTGGCCCCTCCATCTCCAAGAGACATCTCTGATTTTATTTCATTTAATTTTACTTTACAGTATTGAAAAATCTGATTTGGCTGCAAACATGAATTGCAGCAAATAAACCTTACTTCCAAGAGATGCTAATTCAATTATTTTCGGCTAATTTCCCGCGTTTTCTAAAATTATTTGAAATGCAAAAATTGAAATTTGTAAAGCAAATACATAAGTTACTGTACTATAAAAGCTAACTATATTATTATTATTATCATGTTATTATTATTATAAATGTTAAAAATATGAACAACGTACATGCCAGACACAAGCGTAATTTTGAAAACATGGATTGTGCTGTTAGTAGATTGGTTCATTGCAACTTGTAATGCTTTGTCAATGCTAACGGCAAATCGATGTAAATATTGCTCATCAACAGGTTGTGGTCCATCATAAGGCACATAGATATACGGCAACAATCCATGAACGTGCAGACAGGTTTTTTGACCTTGTGAGAAAAAAGAAAATTTACATATTAAAAAAACCAAAAAGTGACATTTTGATTACCAGTAAACTATCAATTACAATAAAAATTGTAGTATTGTTGTATTAGTTTCAGAGATGGAATTAAGGTGTCTCAGCTTGCCTTGGACAAATAATTTTTTTTTTTTTTTTTTACATTAAAAAAAATTTGCAAAAAACCCCAAAATCACATTTAAATTATTAGAGCACCATCCCAGTAATCTAGAGGTGTCATAGCCCTACTTTTTTGTGCATCAGCCCCCAAACATTATAGGGCTAAGGGGGTCTGGACCTTCCCTGTGTAGAATTCCCTCTATTGGCCCCTCTCTCCGGTATCCACCACTGAGTTTTATTTGTCATGTCATATAAAATAGGTTTTTAAAGTACAACAATTTCCAGTGTCTCTGAATTATTATTGCTACATGGTATCCATTTTCACTTTAATCTATCATAGGTTTGCTGTGACACTGTCAATGCATTGTTTACTGCACTTCTCTAGCCACTGCCCGATGTTGTCAGACTGAGACCCATGTCCCCTGCATTGTCAGACAGCTTAAATTAATTTATTTATTTTATTTCAACAATCTTTAATGAGGGTGGTGCATCCAGCCAAAGCTGATCATTAGGGACCCTCAATACACATAGTATAACAAAACAAAACAGAGTATGAAACCAATTAACAGTAATATAAATAATAACCTTTCAATTCTTAATTTACATAATGAACTAATTCAAAATTGTATAAAAAACTTAATATAAATAATTAAAATTAAATTACAATTAAAGATGTAAATTAATCAAGCATGATTAAAAAATAGTTAAAGTAGGCAAAAGAAACATTAAAACAACAAAGAAAAAAAAAGTTTAGAATAAATGCTAGAGTCGCCATGATTGTATTAAACATCATTGTACTGCTTGATAGGAAATTATAATACCTTTTTACAGGTCACTGAAACTAATCACTTGAAAAATCTATTTCTATAGTAACATCATTACCACAAGTGCATAAAACCATGTATGATAATCATTCAAAGAAGAATAGGACTTCCTTCTCATGATAATCTATCCACCCCACAGTATCACTAGATTAGATCCTGACACTACATACCATAGAGCCTTACTTCCTCTTTCTTATAATAACCACAGTAAAGTGATAATACTGTATTTTCAACAGTTCATTATTAGATTAGATATACAACTGCTACTCTTTTTTGTTTCTGGAGGACTGGACTTCTGTATAGATTGGATTTGATGTTAACACCAAGGATAATCTATGAAGCCAAATAAAAAAAAATTATTGTGTTGGCCATGCTCGACCAACCTAAAATGTACGAAATTGAGATTCGGCATTTTAGTTTTTTTTTACTACAACGAAAAGTATTTATTTCTTTTATTGAGCTAAAAAGGCTGGAATAAGACTACCTTGCTGGACATTTTGCTTATAAATATGGGCTATATTGCAAACACCTTTTTCCGAAAGACAGAGCCCTTTTGTATACTGCATTTCGGCTGTGAAGCTGAACCGAGTACCAAAGAACAACAATGAATCTCCACGGTTGAACGCAAACATATTGGCTACTGTACAACCAGTTAAACCCACTATGTTGATATTAATATGCTAAATGTTACAGGTGTTATAATTTCCTATCAAGCAGTACGGTGATGTTTAATACATTCATGATGAATCTAGGATATATTCATGTGGGTTTCTGTCTGACAATGGGTCTGAGTCTGACAACATCAGGCAGAGGCTAGAAGTCCAGTGAAAAAATGCATTATCAGTATCACAGCTACTAAAATCTGTTTACAAATTTCTTGATTATTACAAAAGTCTTGATTATTACAGGCCTGAGAGCTAACACTATTGTTAATCCAAGTCAACTTCGGCAATTTAATTGTCTTTATTTTTTTGATCACATGTTTTGTATATATCTTTCGGCTGAATAAAGAATGAATAGTGAATAGATGAACCAATGTTTTTCCCTTCCGATGAAAAGGTCATTTGCTGATTACAGGATGAAACGGTGTTATTTTAAGTCATGAGGAAACACGAAAAAAAAAATGTATTCCTGTATTATTTCACTTAGCATTACCATGTAAACAATAGGAAAAAATTTAATATAAGTGTGTTTATATACCTCATACTGTACATAGGCATCTCATTGGTTGAGAAGCGGGCAATAGAAAGTACTATGTTACCTTAAAACAGGGGTGGGCATAAAAATCGATCGGAGGGCCAAAATAAATTTTTGATTTAACACCGAGGGCCGCACCCAAATTCAAATGTTGCCAGTGTGCTTGCAAAAACCTCCAAGCACCGCTTTTCCACCACTTTATTCTCAGTTTTAATATACTTTTGACATATAATGGTCAGTGTCGGGCCGTAAAAAACAATTTGTTTTCCTGCCAATGTTGCCAGACGATAAACAAACATGGAGGCTGGTCGGTTTAAGCTCCTGGATGAAGAAGGACTAGGCCTACTGTAGCATTACTTCTTGATGAAGCCAATAGCAAAAGCACCAAAAGACAAATTAAATAATGTCTTGTCATATTCAACAAATATTGCAAGAAGGTGGGTGCTGTTGAAATTGAGGAAATAAGCAAAGGAGACTCGCACTCTTTGATCGCCTAGTAGGCATAGGAAGTAAAGCCTAGGCCTACTAGGTACTCTTTTGATTACTTTTTTTAGGTCTCGTAGAATCATGTATGAGGTATATAAAACAAATATTGACTGCTCTAGATTCGAGGAACGGTGAAAACTATTACTCCTCTGTGATGTGGAGATCGTAGCCTATGTCCACATGCTACGGTCTCCACATCAGCTCGTTGCAACAGGAACTCCATTCTCTCATGAGCAGTCAATTTGATAACATTTAAATATAGCAAATGAAATGCAAAAGTTAACATGGACTATATCTAACAAAAACATAGTCATAATAAACCATTATCAAGAACATTCAGTGAAATTTTAAAAATAGGCTCCCAGCTGGAGTGTGTGTCTATGCCCTACTGCCTTACAGGGTACTTTTACTAATAAAGTATCCACATAGGATTCGGTTATCAGGAAATGTGTGGTGTATTATTTTTATGACTTCTGTACAATAATAAGGTACTTTGGCACATGACCCATCATGCACCTCCACCTGATTTACCCTTTCCGTCATCTTTTAACTGCCAGATCATAACATAGTTTCTTTGCCCCAGAGGGGGCATAGACAGAAAGTCTAGTCCTAAAAGGTCATTCACAAGTACAAACAGTACTCTATTTCGGTACCCCCTCCCTCCACTCTGAAAGTGTACACAAAAATGTTTATTTTGCAAAACCATTCTACATTTTTTTTATGAAGTCCTCTAAAGCAGTGTACTTGGTTACTTTAAAATGAATATCCATGCTTATATTATAATTTTACCATTATTTTACAAATTGCATGTTATTTTGAATCAACATTTTATGCATTTGCAAAAGTGTACAGATTTGTCTACCCCCACCCCCTCCCCCTAGCATACTGTTTGTACATCCCTTAGTTTGAGTGTCTTCTTTTTACATAATCTGCGGTTACAAGTTAATCCTTTTACTTAGTAATACCCCGTAACAATATCCTGAATATGATTGTTTTTTGTATTTCAATTTCCTTTCACATGATCCCTGAATGCCCCCATTGAAACAAATTTAAATTCAGACATTTTCATTTTTCTTGGAAAACAGAGTCCAGTTATTTACCATAAGATAAGAATATAATATTAAAATTTAGGGCTTAAGAAAGAGTAGATATAAATCACTAAGAATACAATGTGTTGCTATCTAAAACAAATTTATTGTATTAAGATAAATATCAATCATTAATAAGATATCCCACAGAGAAAGTACCAGTCAAAATGTCCAAGGGTTAGATTCAAGAACAGCAGATTCGGCATAAAACAAAAATACTGTATAACAAATTAAAAACAAAACACTGAAGTACTGTAAAATGGCATGAGGGCTACATGCAAAATGATCTCTTGTTACAAACAAGGAAATATACAGTGATATAAACTACCGGTAAAGTAAATTACTTGAGCAGATGAATTCAAAGATGGCTCTATGTTCACTAGAGTAGAACATTTTTAAAAAGTGTTTACCTATATTTCTTTCACTTAGTATACTGCCATGTACAGTAACAATTAAGATATATTTTACAATACAAAGTATGTTTATAACATTTACAAAATGAAAGGTCAGATGAGCTCATTGGAGCTAACAGCCAACCATAATTAGCTTAAAGTAGGATTAATGTTGTTATTTTTAATTATTACTTTCTTTGCTCTTGTTTTATGTTAAGTGCATAAAGGTACCCACAATATGCAGTCGATTATTATTATTAGTATGGTACCAGTGCTGATACCACTACTAGTGCCGGTACCACTACCCGTGCCAGTAGCAAATAGTACTATGACATCATAAACAATAATTACCAACTTATTTGGGCTTAAATGTTGTGTTATTTGTCAGCATTTACACAGCGCCTTTCCTTTCGGTTGCAAAGTGCTTTTTTTATCCCTGGTTATTAAGTCTACTGTACATGCTGCCAAATAGGTGGAGTAACCGGCAACTTCACCCAGATACTGTACCTACAGTGTTTATAATTGGTAGTACGAAGGAATGCATGTATTACTTAAGAACACAAGTGCACAGTGAGGGATTAAAACTGCAACCTCAAGGTTGGGAGACCAAACATTTAGCTGTGCCACTAAACTGAATAATTCTCTATAATTAAGTTATTAATAGAATTGTAATTTCTACTGAAAATTATAACAATTAAAATTTCTTCCTTTGCCAACAGACACATACATAATATACTGTAACATTTCTGTATTTTCTGCATACTGTAATCCCCTAATCTATAATGTTTGGTAAATATAATGATTTTTGAGAAAAAACTCTGAATTGTTTTGATCTCAATGTGTCATTGCAAATCCTTCCTCATATAAAAAAATGAGCAATTTAATGTTTTAATTGTATGTCTAATGATTTTTCCTGATTTATACGGACAGTGTGCTAGCTTAACCCTTTGAACCTTTGAACATGTAAGCCCAACACACTGGACTAAAGACAAAGTTAAGGAATGAATAATCCTCTGGTAAGGAGTAATTTTACTGGCTGATCAGCTACGGACAGCAAGCATGAAGGCCTAATCATGAAATACTTCAATTCAATTTAGCATTACATAAAATACATGTATTTGAGTGACTGATCTGCCTGCTGTTTACAGTACAGAAGGCCTTTGCTTGGACCCATACAATGAAATTAATTAATATTTCATTTCAAAAGAATTAAAATTACCAGTAAAAATCAATATCATTTTTATTAAAAGACCACAGTAAAATGTAAAGCTAGTGGTATAAGCCAATATTACTTTTAATAAAATGTACATTACAGTGTAAAGGTCGTTTACGTTTTTTGTAAAAACTTTCTTTAAAAAGGGTTAAAAATCACTCAAGATAATGTAAACATAGCTTATTTTTTATTAAAATAATAATAATAATAATAATAACAATAATAGTAACAATAATAATAATAATAAAAATAATAATAATAATAATTTTAAAAAAAATAATAATAATAATAATAATAATAATAATAATAATAATAATAATAATAATAATAATAATAATAATAAATAAATAATAATAGTTCAAATTATTTAACTTTCTTCTTGCCTAGGGTCTGTTTGTGCCTGAGCTACCTGGTAAACTGGTGCCAGCTACTAGTGTCTGTCCACCACAGGGGCTGTATGGAGCAGTATACTGGGGTAACCCCCTACTTGTCTTGAGAGATATATAGTACTGGGTCCTTTTAAGTGCACATTGCAGCTTATAGACCTTGTTCCATCTCCAGAACCATAGGCAAGCATGCCATTCGAACCAACGCCGATATTACAGTATGCTTGTACAGGTGCAGCAGCTTGCGGCACCCCTGCCTTAACAATACAAACTGAAGAACTAAAAACTGACTTACCAGTAGGAGTAGCCCCAAACACCCTTACAACAGGGACTCGCTTCACTTCGCATCCTCGGAAATCTGAGTATGTGATATCCAGCTGGGGGATCGGTTCTGCCATGTAATTGTCCGCTGTCACAATTCGAACTGACAACATTTTATCACCCATATTTTACATCAATTTTGTATTTAAAATCTGAAAATAAATGTCAATAAAGTTAAATACAATTCAGAAATGATACCAATGTGTTAATTTATATTTTTGAATGTACTGAAATGTAGTTATGGTGGGCAGGGCAACACAGCCTTTAAGTTTTCCACCCAGTCTAAAGCTAATTTCATGGCCCTCCACCTACCCATATTTATTAACCCATTTTTCCATCCTTAAAATCCACTCTTATTATTTAGAGTTTACTGATGTTATTACCCTTAAAATGTCTATCACCCACCAATTTTGCAAAACAACTTTTGGTAATTGTAGATAAATTCACAAAATTACAGTAAAGACGAATACTCATAATATGATTCAACCCACTGCAATCTGGTTTAAAAGCAAATTGTACTTTAAATTCACAAAGCTAAATACAAACTTGGTACTTAATATTTTATATACCAGAAGACCCTTTTCATTGTGGTTTTAAACAATAGAAAAAAACCCTCCTCTCACTCGACATAGAAAAGACAACAAGCTTGCACAAAAAATGATTGTGTGCTTGGCAATTTGAATGAATTTATCTTTATTTTCATTGTGGTTAACCACCCATTATTACTTAAAGTCAGCAGTGCATATATAATGTGTAAGGTATTCTAATTCATAGTGTGTAGAAACTACAGAAACTGTAAGAACAATGTGTTTATCGATTTGTATGTAGTGTAAACTGTGGGTCACAGGTCAATGGGCAAAACTGCTGCTCAGCTTATCTTTACAAACTGATCTGATGGTTTATGCTTAGTTAGCTAAGTTACTATATCAGAATTTTTTTTAAACTTGTTTACAGACTTTGATGTAAATTTAAGTACATACTATCTGCATTTACAAAACCCCAACATTCAACTATAGTATTATATAGTACTTTATATGAATTTATATGAGAGATTAAAATAAATTTAATTCATTTTTCAAAAATTAATATTTTTTTTTTATACTAACACCTTTGTAATATTTGTCAGCCAATTTTGGGTCTGCGAAAAAAATCCATATGGTATTATTTTATGCATTATTTAATTAAGAGAACACTACTTTGAGTGTTACTACATAGATACTGTACTGTACAATATTTACAAAGTATTCAATTCAAACATTAAAATAAATGTATATATATGTAAATATTCAAATGAATACTTAAATATTAAATCATTGTCTCTTGTTTATAAAATTCCTCATTTGTTTTGTCTTGCATAGACCATTTGGTAGCATTGTTTATAATACTGTATTAAACAAATATTGAATATTAAATATCAAAATCAAATAAGAAGCATACTATGTGCAGAAAAGCTTGTGTCCCAGTTAAATACATATTTCACTTAATAACTTTGTAAAGTACACATACTATAGATATTTATAACTATTAAATGGTTAAAAAAGACAAAAAATAAATTAACAATATATTTAAAATACAAGTACTGTAAATGCATCTTTGAGATGAGAATATGGCAATAGAAAGGTTTCGCTTGTGATACGTGTACGCATACATTTAGCTACCCGTAACGGTTTGTTGGATATGTATATAATTAATTGGGTAGACATAATTTGTTACTTATGTCTAACATGTGTATTATATATTAATATAATTTGTTGGATATATACGTCAATTGGTTGGATGACATGATTAAAGTTTATTTATGAAATTAAATTGATCGAAACAGTGGTTTGTGTTCTATAAAAGTCTCGGTGTGATATTGGCCTATGGGTGGGCGATCTAGACACGTGACAGCCATGATGTGCTTTTCGCAATGACAGTGAAATTTAAGCATTGGGGCTGGGATATTCTGTTTTCTTCTCTCATCATGCTTTTCAAAATCAGATTTTGGCATGTCCTAAACTATTGGTATAGCTAGGTTTTGGAAATTGAAAGTGGTAAACGAATGATACTCCTTCGCTTGTTGCCCAGAAGAGTTGGTTATTTTGTGCCTAAAAAATGCCTGGCTTCTAAAGTAAAAGCTAGGCCTAGGGAGGCCCCTAGCTAGGCCTAGGTCTACAGCTAAACTTCAACACCACTAAGCACCAACGTTTTTTAGTAACGTACTCCAAAAAATGCGACGCATCCTATTGTCACAAAAATGGCACCTACACGTTAAAGATATATTTATCTTTTAAATTTTCCCAAGTGTTTTTCACGTACATGTAGTGAGTGAGATGAGCGTGTCGTCCACACGGTTAGCAGATAGCAACAGGCGTATTACGTCATAAATGATGACGTATACGATACACTAACCGTATGCGTTCGCATGCAAAACTTCCCTACTTTCAACAAATCAACAGCCAGATTTAAAAACAGTCTAAATACCATGTATCTTATACCCATTTCACACTGATGCTATTTTGCAAATATTAACAACTTGTAACAAGTTGTAACCAGGTTTGAATGAGTGTGAAAGCAAAATTCTTGTAAACTTTCCGAGATTTCACAGGGGTCCCCTGAGTTATCTCGGAACAAAAACAAACCATCGCGAGGCCTGTTTTTTTCCCGAAATCTTCCGAGTTGTTGTTGCGCATGCGTCATGTCCATATTTTGACCTTTTTGCGGGCTGTGTTTTTTTTTGTTTAGTTCGAACGAATGGCGGCAGCGATGGAAAACGTACCAACATTACTACCATTTGTTAATAGGCCTAGACCTAAAATCAAAAGAAATCTCGCTAAATTTCACATGTCTGATGTAGAAACAATCACGAGGCTTCGTAAAATACGCCGACAGCGAATCATTATGATGCTTGTCGCACTGATTGCCTCTAACAACAATGGTGAGCTACCGGCCGGCGGCCCGACTGCGTCTAGCTAGCCTAGGCCTATCTTTCTCGCCAGCTCGACTACAGCAAGCGAGCTAGGAGTTGAATTCGTTTTACTCTCCGAAGACTAAGGACCATGGAATAATTATAATCTTGTTAATTCGGTACCAGGCCTAGTTTAGTATATGTAATTCGGACAACCTACAACTAGCCTAGGCCTACTAGTACTACCCTAGGCCTCTAGGCCTAGTCATAATATTCTTCCGAGTTTTCCCAAGATTTCTCCTGGTTTGGAAAGTGCATGTGTGAAACGAACCAAAAATCTCGGAATATCAAACTTGTTACAACTTGTTAATAGTTGTTAAAAGTTGTAATATTTTCTGCTAGTGTGAAATGGGTATTATAATCTTTTTCTTGAATTTTTTATGATTGTATAATAGTTCAAAAATGAATTTTACTTTCAAATGGCTCAATTCAGTGTTTTGGCTGCTTTGTATTTAATTATAGTGGTGTTGTCTTGAAATAATAATAATAATAATTAACAATAATAATAATAATAATAATAATAATAATAATAATAATAATAATAATAATAATAATAATAACAATAATATAATTTATATAGCACCTTTCCAAAATGATCAAGGCATTTCACAATGACTAAAACTACCTAATATCTAAAAGTCTAACAAAAATAGAATCATTATGTTACCAGGTCCACTGATTAATCTCAGATAATACATACTCCAACTATTGAAATGCACGCCATCGTGTTGGGATTCAATATTTTGACATTAATAATGTCATCATCAGGAATGAAAAAATTATCCATATTAGCAAGTTTATATGTACTAGTACCAAAAGTGTTTAACCAATCAAAACATTACCTCTAGTAGATGACATAGCAGTGATTTAAACAAAAGATCAAAGCATTCTTACTTTACTGATCAAAGCTATACAAAAACAAAGAAAGCTCCTTTGAAGCTCTGAGTCCATTGTAGGTACTGTACTGTAATTGAAATTAAACTGATAAAAAATTCAATAAGAATAATTTGCAAAACTTTACAAATAATATTAAAAGATACTGATATATTTTATTCTACTGTTATACCTAGTTATTTATGGGGCTATACATTCAATTTCTTGAAAACATTAGTATAGTTAAAGTAGTTTGTTTTCCTCCAACAATTATGCATTCTTCACTGCCTTCATAGAAAGGTAGTACTGCAACTTTGACTTCAATGAATACCATGATCTGGATAAAAGTAGTCATTCAGGCATAACAAACCCCAACAATCATTTACAAAAGTTCAAGGGTCATAATCTAATTGATAAACTTAATACCTACAGGTATCCGTTAAATAGTATTATCCTACTTATTTTAAAAACATGTTAGATTAAGAAAGCTTATCAGCAATTCCATTGCCTTGCATTATACAATGTACTGAAGGCCCACTTCACTGGAATGAAACTTTATAGTGTTTGCACTACTTAACACATTGACTGCCAGACCTCTTTTAAAAGTTCCTTCCCGTGTGCCAAAACAAGTTTACATGTACTATACAATACAAACATACTTTTTTGAAATTTTATCTAGTCATGTATCATCAAAATGATGTGTCTAATATTAATAAATTGGCTGGAAAATAATAGAGGGCAAGTATACTCGTCGACAGCACTGTGACCGAGTTATCTCGTCCACTTTTTGCATGGGTTAGTTGATGTTCAAAAGGCACCCCCACTTGTGCCGCTCGAGTGTACTAAGGGCAACATAACGCAACAAACATACATATGTCATTTGTATGTTATCGTCTATGTGTATCTTCCGAGGTTCTACAATGTGTAACAAAGAAGTAATAAATGCTAGAATGTTACTGCGATTTTTACGAGTATACTCATCTCTGGCGCCCTCAGCAACACCCTGTGGGACGACATCGCCATAGGCTTAGCCAGCAAGCCGTCCGGATGTCTTTTGGACGCCCTACAATTATTTAGGATGGCCACTTTTACTGAGATGGCTTGGCGGCTTGGCCTAATCAGCTTGGCCTAGGCTAATTGGGCCTGGTCTACCTTTAGCAAATTCTTTATATTCTTCAAATCTATCGAATGTTACATTAAACTAAAGCTAAATCATATTTACGTTTGATAAAAGCAACATTTATTGATTGAATGTATGTTGTTTTCGTACCAATATTTCGTAAGGATTCCCAAAGATGGGCGTCGCCCGCCCATCGGCTCAGTGCCACGCCCACTTGCTTCCATTTTGGATGGCCTATTCGTTTTTCTGGCTAATTCCTTACTCATCACTGGCAGCCAACATGTTAAAAAGAGTATGAAAATAATTGCATGTCTTTCTACTTTAGGACAACTAAAGTTTTCATACCAATATTTCGTAAGGATTCCCAAAGATGGGCGTGGCCTGCCCATCGGCTCAGTGCCACGCCTACTGGCTTCCATTTTGGAAGGCCTATTTCGTTTTTCTGGCTAAGTCCTTACTCGTCGCTGGCAGCGAACGTTTTAAAAAGAGTATGAAAATAATTGCATGTCTTTCTACTTTAGGACAACTAAAAAAATTATATTTGTTTAGTGTCACCACCCCCACCTGAATCAGGGTTGTAGCTGCCTGTAGCAAACTGATATGGGTGGGTGAAAGCATTTTAAGGATAAGTGGGTGATAACATTGGTAAATTCAAAGAGGAGTAGATTTTAAAGGATAAAAAAGTGGGTTTGTTAATGAGGGTGGGTAGAGGGCCATGAAATTAGCTTTAGACTGGTTGTAAAACTTCAAGGCTGGGTGGCTCTGCCCACCATAACTACATCGCTGCTGAATTTTCAACCCAAAATAAAAAATTTAAAAAAATTAATATTGTCCAAGAAATGCTAATCAAAATCAATATATTGTAAATGAATGATTTCACTAACCACGTGTGATATTTATTGTAGGCCTATTGAAAATGATTAATTTTAACACTTTTTTGCTTTTTCAATGAAATTGACAATTTATTTAATTTTTAGTACAATTTATTTCTTTTGATTTACTTTATTCATGATGCCCCTCCCTACCTAAAATTTTGTTGAGATGTGATGCTAAACAAGTTTTTTTATTTGGATTCATTCATAATATCATTGATTGGTGCATGTGGGAGCAGTCGACGCAACTTTTGCAGCTCAGTCTCTCAGTTTTAAGTTCCAGATTAAGAGAAAGTTGATTTATGCTGAGTATAATAGAAAATCTTAATTCCAACAGCAATCAGATTGTTTAATGAAACTGCTACCAGATAAATAATTTTTTTTTTAAATGTTTAAATCCAGATAGTCGATCGTCCAATAATTTATAATTTATTTTTAGAGTAATCAGTGAAGGTAATTTCATTATCAATAAATAAAAAAATAACCAAGGTAAAATTGAAAATGTTCTTCTTTGGAAGTTACCAAAAAAGGCATTGTTTTGTAATATATACAAACCCCTGTATGTACTATATATCCTGATTCCTCAAACAAAAACAAAAAAAACAATTACCTACCTAGGCCTAGTACAAGTAGGCTATGCCTAGGATTTGGCAAATCCAATAAACAAATTACTACAGAGTATTAGCATTATATTCAACTAAAGAAGAGCTTGAGATAATGAAATCTCAATTAGTCGCACCCCGTAAGGTAAGAGCGGTCATGACCCGAGCCCAACTGGTCCGGTTTATGACCGGTTGAGCCGCTGACAAGTTGAGCCGCCGGTCATTTCTATGAAATGCCAAGCGCGTCTCTCAGTGAATGTAGTGTGTTAATTGCATAATTATACAACTTTATTTATTTCATTTATTTTTATAAAAATGTAGTACATAAAATAATCAAAATTCTAATTTTCAATTACACAACTTATACATCACAAACGGCAATACGAGCAAATCAATGACTAACAAGACTGTGGGATGAATATGTAGCTGGTATCCGGGGGGTTCATTCACTGATGAAATCGGCAAGCCGACTGATCAAATACTCAGCAAATTAACCATGGAAGATAAAACAAAAATAATTAATAGAGCATTAATAAAACAGTAATAAGTAAAATTAGTAAACCAATTTGATTTTAAATAGACAGATGACTATAAACAATAAATTTAAATGTGTTAGGCCTATGTTATTATACAGTATTTACTATGGTTTTGTAATTTATATATTTTTATTTTTGTACTAGGCCTAGGCCTATTTGTTAAACTTATATATAATAAATAATTTAATTAAATAATTTAACAAAATAGTACAAATAACGAATAAGTTAATTGAAATACGCCGCAATTAACGCACTACATTCACTGAGAGACGCGCTTTTCGTTTCATAGAAATGACCGGCGGCTCAACCGGTCATATGCCACTGGTCCCTAGCAGGTAGGTCTAGCCTAGGAGAAGAGGGCCTAGGCCTAGCCCATTGGCCTTGCTTAGTATACTACACACTTCACTAGGGCCTAGCCTAAGCCTAGCTAGAATGCAGCCATCAACTTAAAAGATACGTACATAATATTGTGAAGTGGTAAAGTAATACTACGTCGAAAAGGACATTATTCAAAAGTCTGCTGCTTAGCCAATGAAGAGTTCTGTTCAAGTAAAAACTTGTCTGCTCTCGGCTCCCGCTTCCTCAACAGAGTTAGCAAAGCGTATCGTTGGACTCTACTAAAAACAGTGTTGAATAAAGCAACGGTTCAATGAATGAAAACAATTATAATGAAAATTATGAAACTGTGAATATCTCAAGTTACTGCCATTGTTGCTGTAGGGAATTTCATATACAATTATTTTAATTTACATATATATTATATAACGTAATTTATAGATAACTGCATGTATGTTTATAATATATTCTTTGAGTGAAAATAATAGTTCTGTGGACCGCTGAAAATTAAATCAGTATTTACAAATTGTAGCAACAATGTAAACAAAACCTGTCGTCGGTGTGTGGCATGTGTGGGTGGGGAGTGAATCTGTGTTTGTTTTCTACTAGGCCTAGGTTCTAGTGCAAAACATTCCCAATATGTCTAACATTTGTGCTACTTTACATGCTAACCGTGTGCTAAAATTGGTAAATCGATGTATTTTTTTAAACACACGCTGTTTCAAATATCTGTCTTTCAATGTTACAAGCCATTATTGTAATGTAAATCACTTGTAGTTTTTGTGCCTGGCCTAGCCTATCTATGCCTCACTTTTAATATTTAATAGGCCTACCCTAGGCCTAGGCCATAATTAGGGAGTTGGGTTAGCATCAGTACATAGGCTATTGCAAATAAGTCCTGGCAAAGCAAGTTACTTCCTCTACGAACTAAGAGAGGATGGGGTGGGGGTGTGCGTATTCACTTATTGGCTGTGTATATAAATTTGACCCTCATGGTTACAAGTCATGGGTCATCTATAAACCTACAACTCACTGATGAGCGCTTTCATCATCACTGACACCATCCAAACATCTACTGGGGTGACTTCATCTCAAATGAAGTTCTCGGTCAGGAAGAGGTCGCCAGCATCAAGCTTCATTGGGCTGGACATGTCTTCTGGATAGAGGTCATCACTTGCCCAAGATTATTGCGCTGTATGGCAAACTCTAGGGCACCAAAGAAGAGATATATAATGATCATCACATTGCTTCACCAGTGAGGGGTGGGCAGGGAAATTTCCCCTTTGCAGGCCTGAACCTGACCGAGGCTCTAGAAGATGCAAATTGAGAAGAGTGTATGGAAACACAAGCTTCCAAAAGAAGTTTTCGACTTCAGATTTCCCCTGCTTTCAACTGAGAAATATTTTTGCACTAAACATTGCCACTATTCACTAAAGTTTTTTTATCTTTATTTTTAGGATAAAAGGCATATTCCAAATCCAGGAAACAATGGTAAGATTTTTTTGCCATTGGATTTGTTATTCTTATTTATTTTTATTTTTTTAAAAATAACAATATCAAGCTCACAGAATGATTTTACTTTGGTACCTATTTTTTTCTCATAGAGGTGCTACTGTCAATGAAAAGTGTAGGTATATGTGGATCTGACCTCAAGTATTGGGCATATGGAAAATGTGGCCGATTTGTGATGGATTCCCCAATGGTGATTGGCCATGAAGCAAGTGGAGTAGTCGCCAAGTTAGGGGAAGGTGTAACTAACCTTAAAGTTGGTAATGAACATGTCAAATATTCTCTTTGATTTAATTGAATTTTTTGTCATCTTCTACAGAATGTGAATAGTATAATGTTTTATATGTGAACACCAAAGATTTATTTCCAGTTCAGTCATTCTCATTGAATTTTCACCAGCAGACAGTCCGGGCTCAGCTTTACAGAACTGTTTACCGTTTAATATTTTTTATATATTTTATATCCACATCAAACTAGCAGTGTTAGAAACCCTAAAAAAAATGTTGTCTGTATATATCAATTTAATAATGCTAATATAGTAATAATATTAATATTATACTGAGTCACAAACATTAAAGATACATAAATGTTTGCATGCTGGAACCAACTGAATCTGGACAATAGCTTATTCATTTTCAATATGCATATCAATTTTTATGAATGGAAATCAGTATGTTTATCTCCCTTTTGAAGGAAGAAAAATACAATGGCTTTTGTGTGACCAATACAAAAATGTCTAACAATACAAATTTGTTAAATAGCATAATTTTGTTTTTGTATTTACTTTTAATTGGTAATTGAGATTTGTGTTATGTAAGATGTTTTCACCTATTTTTGAATGTATGCCATGTTGGGCTAGCATTAAATATCTATAGCTACCACAATTTATATATTTTTTTGTTATATAAGAAAAAAATTGTTCATATACATTTTTCATCGTTCTAATGAAGGAAATTATTTTTTGTTGTATACCCTCATTTTATATTATTTTGTTTATGGGTAATGTTAACATTCACTTCTTTAAAGATTACCAGACAATGTCAGTTTTGATGAGGGTGCACTTCTGGAACCTTTGTCTGTTGCTGTCTATGGTTGTGAGAGAGGGGGTGTTGGCCTTGGAAGTTCAGTGCTTGTGTGCGGAGCTGGTAAAATACTAGTCATTTGATTCTCTGTAACTGCGTTTGCAGGATTCTTAATGCTATCCAAATTTGCTAATTCAGACCAAGGCAATTCAACAAAAGGACGCACATCTCCGCTCTCGAACATAGCGTGTGCATACAGTCCTTTGATCTTTACTGTGGCATCAATGATCCGATACTAGTTGCGAGTACAGCCGTCAATTATTAGTCTATACATGCTTTACGTTTTATGGTGTTAGTTACTATTTTATTAATGTTGGATACTTCGTAATGTCTGTTACATCTGATTTCTTTTGACCACAAGCTTGTTAAATGCTTCTATAAACTACAATTTGATTTGTGAAAATTGACCAACAAAATGAAAAGTTATAGCAATTGAAAATTTACAATTTTTATAAAATTTCATGTTCTTATATAACATTAAACTGTCATTTTGACAATGGTGGACTAAGGTGCACAAAACGAACATTTTAATAGATTCATAATTTTTTTTAATTTTTTCTGCGAAGTGAGTCTTATGTTCAACAATGCACCACAACATCGGTAAAATTAATTTTGAAATAACGAATATAAATTTGAGTCTAATGTTAGTGCAAAAAATCATTAGCCTTTGTAAATCACCGCATGATTACCATAGCAACTAACACAAGCGTGGGTAATTCTTTACACACTGACGGTTAATTATGGTTTGGTTGCTATGGTTTTTGTGACGATCAGGGCGCGTTAAACTTAGTCAAGCGTGTGTGGGCACGCGACAGGTAGAATGTCGATGCCAGAGTTATAACCTTTGATGTGCCGAGATGTGCATCCTTTTGTTGAATTGCCTTGTTCAGACTTAATTGTTTACTTTCGAATATATATGACTTTAACTGGGTCATGTTCAATATTCACAACATAATTTATATTTATTCAACCATATAATAATTATATATGCATGCATCAATAGAAAAACAGCCTGGATGACTGAGATATGAGTTCTTCCGTTTCATGAGATCAATGTAACAGTTAAGAGAGCCCTCTATAACAGTTACAGTCTGTGAACAGCACAACATGATATAAAAAAATTAAATGGAAATTTTTTTTCCCCAGCATTTTCAACATTTGTGAACTTTTGTTGTGTAATAATTTCTAACAATTAGTTTGAGTATTAATTTTTAGATTTTCTTATAGTTTAGTTTTATACTGTAGAAAGTTCAATAAATAATAATATTTATTTAAGAACATTCAATTCATTTACTGTTTAGTATTAAGCTGATTTTGTTTTACCATTCTTGTTCGACCTAAGACCTTCATATCATGTTTTGATAACAGGTCCTGTTGGGTTGCTAACAATGATGACAGCCAAGGCGATGGGGGCTGATATAGTAGCTATTACAGGTAAAGTAGTATTTGTAGTATTAGTAGATAATTATTAATATTTATCGCTGCCCAATTTAAAGAAATAATTAAACAACTAAATACTATTCTGATAATAAAGAAAAATAATGACAAATTTGCTCTATAAAATCACAGAAAGGTATGTCTTGAAGCCCTCAAAATTTTTTCTTGGATAACCCAGAAACTTTGAGGGCATATTTCTTCCACTGGGGTTTATAAAGGCTTTAAGACTTGTGATTGGCTGAATGTTTTGAAAGCTTATGATTAGCTGAGAATGTTCAAGGCTAGTGATTGGCTCAAAATATTATTACATATATTAAAATAACATGATGTACCATTAGTGTATGTCATTTCTCATATCTTAATTGTAAACTTATTTAAATGTAACAAATAATATAAATATAGATCGACTTCACTAACATAGGTAAATACACTTTACACAAATATACATTCCAGTGTTCTCATTTAATACTTCCCTGGAGTGGAGTTAATTAGCTTTAGTGGTTAAGATGCTTGCTTTCTAATCCCAGGGTCATGGGTTGAATTCCTGTCAATTGCAGGATTTTTTCTCACGACCAAAACAACTCCACTCCCTCAACCTCATATTGAGATTTACTTTGTGTATAGCATCATGTGTGTATGTTTGTCTTGTGTAAGGGATTGTCACCCACCAAGTAGGACAGTGATAATATTCGCTATTGACAATCCTTGGTGGATTTGTTGTGTGCCTAAATAAAAAAATAATAAATAATAATAAATAACTACATTAACAGTTTTTTCTTTGCATCTATATATTAAGATATTGATGATCACCGATTGTCAGTTGCTAAGAGTCTTGGTGCTGACCACATTTTGAAAGTACCCATGTCAGTTGAAGAGAAGCAGTTTGCCCTGCAAATTCAGTCTGTCATGGGCTGTGCTCCAGATGTCACGCTCGAATGTAGCGGAGTAGACAGCAGTCTGCGATTAGCTCTTTATGTAAGTGTATATTCTCTTTGAAGGATTTAAAATGTCATATTGTGGCAGACATTATTATTATTTTTATTATAGGTCAAAGCAATTATTGATTTGTTGTTTAATAATTTAGCAACTGATTTAGATTTGATATCTATGAAATTGGGAAAGGAGCAAAACATCCTTACATTTGTTAGCTCATTTCTCAATTTCATGAGAAAAAAATCAGAAACATGAATGATTTCCATAATCTAACAGTTACATTTGCTGTGACATTGGCAGGCTTCTCAAGAAGGAGGCTCGGTGGTTATGATTGGTCGAGGATCCATGGAGCCTACAATTCCCCTGGCTTATGTAGCTCTACGTGAGATTGACATAAAGGGTGTGTTCAGATATGCAAATTCGTAAGTAAATGCATTTCTAGCCAAGTTGTTTTGCTAAATAACAAGTGCAATAGGAAAATCTATAACTCTCAAAATTTGAATAAAAAAATTAAAATGTATATTTTAAGGAATTCATTGGTTATATGGCTTCATGTGGTTCTTAACACACTGACCGCCAGGGTTTTGAAAAAAATAGTATCAGCCACTGCCAGACTTTTTAGCAAATTTTAACACTTTTCTGAAGCTAGTTGAGAGTGCATATGTGATCAGATCAACATGTAGTGAATACTACGAGAACTACAAACATTATAGCTTTAAGCCACCCTGACACTTGCACGATTTTTGTCCCCGCAATGGTGTGCAATTCGTCGTGGCAAGACGTGCCATTTCTGTGGTACGCTGCAGAGCGTGAACCCGTGTTTGCGGCCTGTTAGCGCACTGTACACGCATAAGTTACGCACTGTGTGCGCAATGCGCGTCAAAAATGTCCCGTATTGATACGTACTGACACGCAATAGCACTACTTGTTTGCGCATAGGTTAAGTATTGTTCGCGCATTGTTCACGTCTACCATACCGCATTGTCCCGCAGTGTCATACATACAACATGCATAATTCCCGCTGTCTTCCTGCATTGCCCCGACTACTTCGCGTATGCGTAAAGTCATTGTGGCAATTTTTGATCATGCTTTGTCCCGTTACCAAACACGGAGATCTATGTGTTTGGCGGGCAGTGTTAAGCAAGGCATGCTTTACAGTAATAAATTTACTAATGTTCATCACAAAGTTTCTAAAATTTATTACCGACAATGGCTATGACGACTATCATGATGGTGACATTGATGGTGAGAGTGACGGTGATGGAAGCGGCGATGGTGGCGGTAATGATGATAATGTTGGTGGTGACGATGATGTGTTGATGATAATGCTGTCCTTTATACAATTGCACACAATATAAATCATTCAAAATAGTTCTTCTACAGCTCATTATTTTTATGTATTTGTATTTTATCTTATTTCCATTTTTCTTCAGATATCCAAAAGCATTATCCCTTATCACCAGTGGCAAGATCGATGTACAGCCACTTGTGTCACATCATTTCACCCTCAGCCAATCACAAGAAGCCTTTGAAACGGCAGTCGACAGAGAAAGCAAAGCAATCAAAGTAATTATAAGTTGTGAAAATTGACCAATAACAGCTGTCTCATAACAGAATAACCAAAGTCAAATTTTAAAATCAAATTATTATAATAATATATTTTACAATATAATTATTTATTTTATTGTCTTTCTAATTGTATATTATTCCATAATTTAAGTTCAGAGTTATATAATTTTGTACATGAAAATTTAAAAAAATGACTTTACATTAAAGTTAAAAATGTGACACTCTTTTGTATCATGTTGTATCAGTATAGCAACACATGATATAAGGTTGTTAGAATGAAGTGTCCCATAATAATTAGTCTAGACCTACAGTATTGATAGACTTCAATAAGTGATGATACAATGTATTGCCACAATAAGTGATGAAATAGGCCACAATAAATTCCATAAGTTGTATCACAGGATGCAACAATAATATAGGTCACAATATGACATAGGCTGCAATAAGTGATGAAATTCTATAAGATAAGACAGGATGCAAGAAATATATAAGTCGCAATAAGTGTGACAGTGTTACAGGTAAAATGTGACGAAATGCCAAAAGGTCTCAATAAATGAAGACATATGGGCCACAAGGGATGACATAAATTGTAACTGAGGGAGTACATGGGCCATAAAATTTTACAACATAGTTATAATTAATAACGACATGAGTCGTAATAAGTGAAGACCTAGGCTACAATATGTAATGACATAAGCTGAAATACTTATGACATAGGCCATAAGAAGTATTGGAATATATGTTGTGTTCAGAATAAAAACTGTCAAAATTAAATTAGTTTCCCTAAGTTTGAATTTGCTGGATATTTTACAATAGATTTTATGACATTTTTTTTTGTACACAAAGTGATTGAAATAAACCTTTGAAAATGAAAGTATTCTATTTAAGTTAGTTTATTTTATTTCCGTCTTTAAAACTATAAAGTAAAAGGTTAGTTAATAAATAATAATGAAGTGATTTGAACATGTACATGGTATATTAATTTACTGTACCTAATAGTATTACCGTATGAAAGCATAACACAAAGTAAAAACAGATTTTCTAAAAATAATTACACCAGATAGCTGCCAGGGGAATACTTTTACTGCCAAGTCTAGCAATTGCTGAAAAAAGAGAGTTTATATTTATCTTTACTAAACATATATTAATGCTGTTTTTGAGCAATGCCTTTGAATCTAATCTATAGCCAGACAGAAATTAATGGTAGTGTACAGATCTGTAATAAACATGTCTATGAATATGAATATAAATGGAAGGGAGAAGAAAGCAACACATTTGTTGTTCTTTGACATGTGATGGGAAAAAGTGTATGGTTTGACGATAACAGAGTGGCCCAGAGGAATAATGCTCTATTCTACACTGTTGAATTTTATGTATGAAATTTTAGTGAATTGTTCATATGGGCATCATAATAACATATCACATCCATATTTGGTCTTGATGATGTCAAATGATACACATAATGTAACACATTGGTCCGAGTTTAGTAATAGGAAATTTGGTCTGTTCCCTGGGGATCCACACTAGCTGCAGTGTAGCACCATTCTACTCTCTTTCTAGCCGGAAACTCCTGCGTTGTTGACGGTCGTATGGCCGACAAATCCAACTCCCCTCTCTGTGGCCTAGTTCAGACTAGGTGGATAAACCCGACTCAACTCACCAGGTTTATCCACCTACCAGTCTGAACTAGGTGGCTTATTTCAAGCCGGGCTGTGTTCCTATAGTAACTAGGCCTGGCGCGCCACCGTGTTTAACTTTTCTAAGCCGGGCTTTAATCGTTGCTGGGGGTCTTGCATTGACTTCGGGTGACAAAATGACCAATCAGCATTCAATTACGTACGCTGTGGGGGAGCGTAATTTTGCGAGCAACGTTTTGAAACACTTTTTCCTGGTTACGGTTCATTTATGCAAATTCTCGCCTGGCTAATCCCGCTAGTCTGAACGGCCGGCAAAGTTAAGCCGGGCTTAAGTCAAGCCTGGCTTATCTCTAAGTCTGAACGTAGCCTGTGATCGCTAGATGACGACAGTCTGAACGGATTGTTAAAAACGATCGGTTGCGCGCATTGTGTTCTCCATATAATTGCCTTGGCCTACAAGCATCAACACTGTGAGTGCCCGTCTTTAAGTGTACAGTATTTATTTTTATTATGTACTTCAGCCATGTTGTTGTACATGCAACCAATTGACTATATATCTTATAACAGTGAACTATAACCTGTATTGAACGTGGGGAGTGGGCTTGGATTTCTTTGATATTTGATACTGTACACCAAACATTTAATTCTTAATTCTAGTGGATGGGGTCATTCTGGTGGTAAATTGGCAGTACACTGGCAGACAATCTTCTACTTTTTTCCAAAGAGTGTACGGCATTCATATGTGGGACCAATGGCACTATTAAAACTTACATTTCAGCCCTCCAGTTGAAATAATAAGAGAGCAGACAAATAGAGACGAATATCCATTGATTTTAAAAAGGGAATATGTTCATGATTCATTCCTCCTCAGACCTACTACTGTTTACTGTGCAGTAGGTGGCACCCAGTAGTTATTTCAATTAGAATTATTAGGTAAAAATAGTATTAAACTTATATATGATATATGCAAGTTTTCCTCTTTATTATTAAATTACACTTAAATTACCGTTATTGCTCTGTAAGGTATGCTTGACATCAGTGCTACACAACTGACATTTTCGGAGTGTCAATCAAACTAAACAACTGACCAATCAGAACAGGGCCAGGATTGCGCAGGTGTCCTTCAAGCACGTATTGTCCCACTAATGCACATGTTTATGTACATTTACGCTATTGTTTTTTGGGACCTTAGCAACAATATCCAATAGGCGTGGCTTAGCGGAAAGGTTGATTAACGATACACTGTCATAATAGACTACTAAAGTATAGTCAACTTTAGAATTTTTAAATATTTTTTTGATGGTCTAACAGGTAAAACACAACTTTCCTATACTCTTTGCATACACCCATAAATTGACTAGTATTAATTTCATTTAAAGATCAAATCTTGGTTTCAGTATAAGTTCAGAACATTTTGCACAAATCACCCCAAGCGATGCTATGTATCATTACAAGGCTTCACCTTTGCCCTCACATCAATGATATCATCTCTCAAACATGCGCTGTTGTGCAAGACAATAATGTTCTGTTGTTCTGAACAGAATTGAATGGGGTACTAAAACCCATGCACATGCTGTAAATGTAGACATCATCACACAAACATGTGCTATGTAATTGAATGGGGTACTAAAACCCACATACTGTAATGTTGATATCATCAGTCAAGCATGTGCTGTGTAATTGAATTAGGTACTAAAACATATACACTATGCTGTGATGTATTTGCTTGTGTTTTTGTTGATTCCTTTACTATATAATTTTTTTTTACTACAAGTGAAAGTTTTGAAAAGTAGTGTTCTTGCGTAGGTTTCTGAATTTTCCAAATCACAGTGTTAAAGCCTTCCTGATCTACACTTGTGAATATCTTTCCTTTTGAAGTTTGACTTCCTTTGGGGACAGACGAAGTATCCTGACAATCTAATGATACTATTAATGATGATTGTGATGGAAAAATCAATATACAATATAGGTCTTTATAAATTGCATTAGCTCGGGCCTCCCTAGCTTCCTAAAACAATATTTGTAGAAGTATAGCCTACCTAGTTTCCTAAAAATCATCTGTTGCAATAGAGCAGGTGTGACGAAATAGTTCACAGGCTACAAATTTTCAAAATATAAGTTGATATACAATAGCTTACCCACGCTCCAACATATAAACACTACTGTCAACATTTCAAATGCTCATTAGTCTAAAAAAAGAAAATTATAAAATTGTGTTTGCTATTCCCTAGAGTCTCAGATATTAGTTTTGACAATAACGTAATGTATGATTCTATCATTTATAAAGTTTAGGCAAGACTTATTTATACCTTGTTTTGAGAACTCATATTTTTATAAATCAGCAGAGGGTGGAAAAATTTTTTTTTTTTAAATTTGGTTTTCTTATTTAGCAAATAGTTTTGCCATAAACATCCAGATGGAGGAAAAAATAAAAATAAAATTTTATTGGTAAATGTAATCAGTGTAGTATTGGGATGGTTATATGCTTTAAATTTATAGGCCTATAATTAGGAAGAAATACTTATTTTTTGGAGATATCAAGGCAGCAAGGGTGTAATAAAAATAAAGAAAAACTTCCATTTCCATTTTTTATAAAGAAAAACTTCCATTTCCATTTTTTCATGGCGGCGGGAGCACCAATTGGCCAAAAATAAAATGTTATTCTTATTCAGAAAATCATTGTTATTGGTGGGCAGCGGGTTTGCTATTAAACAAGGTATAAAAAATTCTTGCTTCATCAAGAAGTATAGTTTGTATTCACTTGTAATATTTGAAAATGTGTAAGTCTACAGGTACACATTCAACCAAAGGACTTAGATGTTCTAGTTCACTTATTCTATTTTTAAGTCTGGTCTAATATCAATTTCAAAACTCTGAAGCCTTATGACTAATTTAATGTACAAGAAAATTAATGAACCTCGTGATAATGAAGCCCAACTTATGAATGGAAAAGGAGGCACTTGATAGAATTGGAGTTCTGCTTTGACGTCATGTTTTCTGGCGTTTTGTCATTAGCTAGATCAGCCTCTAGGGTGAAGATAGGAAGTTGATGGATATAGCCAACTTAACAATTGTATTACTTGTTGAATGAAAGAAAACATACAACCATGTTCCCTGTCATTTCATATACAGTAGTCATTTTATTTTAATGGTTGTAGTATCTTTATATTGAAACCAAGTAAAAGTATACACACTGCTATGTATACTTTAACTTGGTTTTAATATTAAGAATACTACAACCATTAACTACACAAAAATTATTCAAAGTAACAATGATTTTGCTATCAAAAATTGGACAGACATTTATTAATTTTGATCACTTTATAAGCCTGGTTTGGAGACTGACTGCTCTAAACTGGGGTGTTGCCATTCACCTATTTTTTAAAGTTAACTTTTCTTACATTTTAAGCAGCTACATTGTACATTCTATTTAAAGGTTAAATATATAGGTAAATGACCATTCATTGTAAATAAATGAATTTTGGCAGTATATCTGCTATGTACAAAGTAATTCATATATTGGAATATTATTTTTTTAGCTTAACAGACAGTTTATCTTTAATAGCATTTCTTAATGTAAACCCTTTATACTGCATCACACATACATAAGCTGCTTTTGTTGAATTTACAGCAATTCAATCCTGGTTGTTATTTCAAATTGTTTTCGTTGTATTTTTTCCTAAATAACATGTGTCATTATCCAAATGGACGCCATTAGGCAATCATTAGGTACGACTCAATTTCCATGGTTACGAATCCAGTCAAAAGCTGTGATGGTGTCTATGTTATTGATTCAAAGACATTCGAAAACATTTGAAAGGGGGGAGATAGCAAATATGAACATTCATTTAAATAATTATGATTGGTATGTGCAACACTATATATGTATTGGATACATGATTGTAAGTTATGCCTTTTTTGTATCATTTGCAAATTTACTGAACATTTTTATAATTGGTCAGTCCCAAATGCTTAAAATACATGAAAGAATAAATTATTTATAAGATTTGCTAATCATAAAGTTACTTATTAATAGTGTTCATAAATTGGTGTACTCTACCAGAAGCTTGCTAATCAAAATCAAGAAAAAGTTTCATGAGCCATAAAAAAGGACTACAATTCAAAAGGTTCACTAGTCATAATTGAGAAAAAGGTTTGATATCCCCAACACAGCCTCACGACTATCCACCACAACATCTGCAATTAGCTCACATGACACTGAGCTGGTCTTAACAAGAAA